CACATACCACACACACACACACACACACCTCTCTCTTGTTCCTTTTATCTCTGAATTTTGCTATAAGGACATCATGTAAGTATCCAAATATGATGACACTTTGGAACACTGCTAAACACTGCTAAGTTCCAGCAGGAACACCCTTTTCCACACTCCATCCCACCTCTCTGCAGAAGCTCTACCCCTAGCCCCGGGAGAGGGTAACGTGAGCTCCACAACCACACGCCTGGGCCTCGAGTGCAGTCCATCATAGGAAGGAGACCTGGGCCCTCTCCCGGTGCCCTGGGGCTCCTCTCAACAGAGGCCGTGGGTGCTAGCGCTGGCTGGAGGCCTCTGGCTCCAGCCCGGCTAACTGCAGCATGAAGCACCTTCGGTGACGTCGCTGTGGTTCCATCCACAGCTGCAGACAACTGAACACAGGGCTCCTTGGGGCTCCTTAGGAGCAGCGCTGAGTCGGAGCCGAGTGTGTGGAGTGCGGTGAGTCCCTCGGGCAGGCTGGCAGCCATGCCTGAGCCCTCCGTGAGTGGGCACAGGGCTCCCTCAGGCCCCCCCCCCCCGTCCACGGCTGCATGCCTGGCTCTGTGTGTACCAAGTTGTCCCGCACGCTGAGCACCAACCCTCAGCAAAGGCTGGAAGACAGGAGAGAGGGTCCTGCACGCTGAGCACCAACCTTTGGCAAAGGCCGGAAGACAGGAGAGGGTTCCATCTAATTTTTGTGCATTAAAGAGATTTTTAAAGAACCTTCGATAAAAGTGTTCCTCACTTTTTAAGACAGAAGAACTTTTTTTGTGGTTGGGAAGCAGGCAGGCTGAGGGGAAGCCAGGTCTCCTGTCATTATTCTAAGGTAACTAGTGCAGAGAATGGAAAAGCTTCAGTCTGGGCAGGATTTTTAACTATGGCGGAAACGGGGAAGACCATGCATGTGAAGAAAGAACAATAAAGCAAAGAGGACAGTTTGCCCAGTGTCAGACTCAGGAAGGACATGAAGTCTGCTTGCTGGTTCTCTGTGGGTGACCCAGTGAATACAGACCAGAACTTGCTAATCCTCTCAACAGGGCTCTGGGCCTGTGGTCTTGGTGGCGGCAGCAGCACAGCTGACCTATCAGGGCCTGGACTCCCTGAGCATCGGGGTGCCCCCCGGCCCCCCCCGGCCTCCCCCGCAGCTCCTCCCAGCTGACGGCCCCGTGTGACCAGCAGCCCAGCCTGCCCATTGCCTGTCCCCAGAGCCCTGTCATGGAGCCACGGCACCCAGCACCTTCCCAGCCATAACGTGGCTCTGGAGCCCCGCCTCCGTGTGGACCACTCCACCAGGCAGCGAGGGAGACAGTGCCCTGCAAACCCGTCCAGCACCCCACCCTGCACCTGTGCTGCCACCTCCTCCCTGGCCGGCGGGACCTGGACCCTCCCCAGGCAGGAGGCCATCTGTGGGGAGTCTCAGCATGGCCTCCATCCACCCAACGAGGACAGCGTGGGCCTCAGCTGCAGCAGACACCTAGACGCTAGACCTGAGGTCTGCTGGGGTGTCCCTCCAAGTTCTGATTATGTGTGTGGCTGGCTGGGGACCTGGGGACCGACATCTTTCTGAGAGCACAGAGGAGGCAGGGTGGAAGCCAGCGACCACAGACTTCAGAGCTGCTGGCCCTCTTGTTATTAACACCCAGGAGGCTGGGGACAGCTCATGGTGATGCCAGTGTTTGCCATCCGAGTGGGGGCTGGGTGCAGCGACAAGGCAGCCTAAAGGAGCCTAAGAAGCAGTGGTTTTGGGGCCAGGATGTGTCTGTGGTGCTTGGCCCTGGTGTGCCTATCTCCGATGGTGGCTCCTTTCTGACCCAAGCTGGTGCTGCAGGGCGCGGCTCGGGGGCCGCCCGTGGTTGGGCGGTGGTATGCACACCCCTGTCTAGAAGCACAGCACAGACCGGAAGTTCAGGAATACTCCGTGGAAGGTCAGCTGTGTGGCATGCTCTGGGGGACCCTGGGGCTGTGTGAGCCAGCCCTCAGCTGTGTTGTCAGGTGGAGCTGTGGGGCTCAACTCTTCTCTTCCCCTGTGACCAAGGCCTCAGAGGCTCTCTGTGCACGTCACCGTTTCCCTGACTTTATCCTGCAGTGCTGGGCACCCTGTGTGGGGTGCAGACCCAGATGTCACCCCCAGTGGCAGGTGGTGCTGCTGGTAGTGAGGCTTCCTGCCCCAAGCCATGAGGAGCCTGTGACATCAATGTAGAGGATCCTAGAGAGCCCGACTGTCCCCAGGAGGTTCATGGTGAAGCAGCAAACCTTTCACACACTGCATCTCAGAGCAGCCTTCCTGCCCATCATCTCCTGCTCCCTGCCCACCATCAGAACCCAGCCTCCCGGCTGCAGTCAGCTCAAGGGGTGGGAAGGAACACATGGCACTGAGGGCGCTGCATCTCAGACTGTGAGCCTCGGGCAGCAGGCCCGGAAGCCATGGGCAGGCACCGTCCTGGGTCTGCGTACCTCATTTCCCAGCAGAGCAGAAACACAGGCTTCAGAGGCGTCGCAGATGGCCGTCAGGTCATGGCCGCCCTCCAGGGCCAGCACCACCCGGCCGCCGGCCAGGCCCATCAGCTGCTTTGTCAGGTACCCAAAACCTGCAATGGGAGGACAGGCGTCAGCAGGTGGCATGCTGCACCTCAGCAGCCCCAAAGTGTGACCTGTCTCCCAGAGAGAGGGAGACAAGGAATAGGCTTCCACCCCAGGCCACGTGGGCCAGGCTTGGTTTAATACATTTACTTGAGTTGTGGTACTGGATTTCCTGTTCATTGGTTCAAGAGTGGATTATGAGTATTGTGATCATCTTGTCTGGAGCACAGGACACCCATCCCACCCAGAGGCCCTGTGCCCCATGCTTCTCTGAGGAACCTTGGGCGTTCTGTCACCTGAGAGCCCTGCATGGGCACACACGTGCACACAGGCACACAGATCCACACCACGCATGCCGCCCAGGCTTTCCCGTACCCACACCTGCGCTGACCACAGCCAACGCCTTCGCCGTGCACACAGGCACACAGATCCACACCACGCATGCCGCCCAGGCTTTCCTGTACGCACATCTGCGCTGACCACAGCCAACGCCTTCGCCGTGCACACAGGCACACAGATCCACACCACGCATGCCGCCCAGGCTTTCCTGTACGCACATCTGCGCTGACCACAGACAATGCCTTCACCATGTAAGGCAGCTGCCCCTGGTGGCCATCCCCATCACCCCCTGCAGCCAGAGGGGGCTGGTGCATGCTGGACAGTAGGAGAACCTTCATAAACCAGTGGTCTCCATGCTAGACCCAGGCAGGCTGCATGTCCTGCCAGGCTCTGATGAGAGAGTGCCCAGAATGTGGCAGTGGACGCCCAGCGGGAACCCCACCCTTGGCCTGTTGCTTACCACCTACAGCCCAGGGACAGGGGGGCTATGTGAGGCACTACTCCCGCAGGGCCATCCCTGAGGCCACTCTGGCCCACCCTCCCTTCCCTGTATGCGGGCCAGATGGGCACTCCTTCATCTGAGCTGATGGGGACAGTAGGGGAGGGGGCAGAGCCAGGGAGCCTTCCAATCCCTTCTGTGCTGTGCCAGCGCAGAAATCAGGAGCACTGGCGTCGCGCCGGTGAGCGCCAGCAGCTCTGGCCCCTCCTGGCAGCAGGCATGCCCCTCCTCCCAGAGTCACCACAGCATCAGAGAATGGAACACACACAACCCAGGGCCAATGCCAGCTCTGGTTCTCACAGCCAGCTGGCTCTTAGGGCCGTGGACACGAGGAGGGAGCCTGGCACGCGTGCGTGGCTGGCCCCAGGGTGGAGGGCCTGGGCTTCCCGCGTGAGCACCGTGCTGCCCTGCTGAGCCGGGTGAGTGAGGGGCCGGGGCCGGCCCTGTCTCCTGGGTGAAGCCAAGGCGACTTCCCTCCACACAAAGAGCTCTGGACCAGTCACCACGAGCCATCATGAGCCTGGCGACTGGCCTCGGCAGACCCACTTACATTTGGCAGACAGGTTGTAGCCTCCGAGAGGCGTCGGGTGACCCTCCACAGCATCGAAGCCCGAGGACACCAGCACCACATCCGGGGCAAACTCGTTGGCGATCGGCATGACCACGGCTCTGCAAGGAGCAGGAGATGGTGTGGGCAGCAGAACAGAGGGGCACGGGACAGCCTGAACCCAGAGCCCCTGGCCGTCCTGGGGTGGGTGATGCAGGTGCCCCCCACAGGCATCTGTCTTCAAGTCCAGGACAACAGGCCCCACGGCAGCTCGGGAAAGGTGCCGCACAGGCCTTCTCGCCGCCTGTGACCACCACTGCGTGGGTCACACCAACCAGAGGCCCAGGGGACGGGCTCTTGTTATGTCAGCGCCATGGCAGGTCACTCCGGGCCCGGCCTTGCCCGCCCCACCCCACTCTCCAAACAGGCCTGCTCCCCCGGCCTGGGAGGGTGCTGTCCCCGAACACCACTAGTAGGCGTGGCTCCAGCACAGCAGCCTGCTGCCCCCGCCCTGGAGGAGCAGCCCCCACGCCAGCCCCTCGCCCAGAGGCCTCCGGCATACAGCAGTGGGAGGGGAGCCAGTGAGCAGACACCTACAACGGTGACAGGGGAAACTGGCCCCGTGTTTAGGGAAACGCAAACCCCACCAAGAGTCCCACGACTGCGCCCCAGCGAGACCCTGCAGCAAGGAGCTGAGAAACCATGGCCAGCTGCGGCCTATGAGAACGCGAGCTCTCCGCTGCTCTGTGGGCCTGCACGCGCTTCATTCGAGGCTCACGGTCAGTCCTGGCTTCCAATCTTTCTGCGGGTGCTGGGAAGGCAGCAGTGGCCCTCGGAAAACGTGGCCACAAGAAGGGGCGCGCCCTATGGGGCAAGCTGAAGAAGTCCTGTCGTCTGCCCCTCAGGACTCCGGGGCCCGCCGTGGAGCCTGCAGACACCCTGCCAGGAGCCCACAGGTGCGGTCTGAGGTCAGGCCTTGAAGCTGCCTTGCCCCGTGACAGCGACAACTGGCCTTGGGACCCTCACAGAACTTCAATGGCAGATCTGACCTACACATTCCCAGCTCATCTACACAGCTCCTGTCCTGTTCTTCAGTGTAGGACCCCAGCCCCAGGCTTCAGGAGCACTTCTTGTGAGTATGTGGGAAAAGAACAATAGCCTTATTAGTTCACACAGCAGAACACACCACACGGAGGGGGAGGGTGGAGCCAACACCTAGCCACGCCCAGAGGTCCTTCTCTTCCAAGGGCACCATGGCGGGCCCGCCCCCCGTGTCACAGGGAGCCAATCTCTCCAAGGGCACCCGTGGTGGGCCCGCCCCCCGTGTCACAGGGAGCCAATCTCTCCAAGGGCACCTGTGGCAGAGGCCTCAGGCCCAGATCTTCCTGACAGATGGCAGAACAGAGTGCAGCCGCCCTTCCTGCTCTCCAGGAAGACTGTTTCTCCAGGCAGAAAAGCAGTTCCAGCTAGGGCTCTGGTATGGGCTTTAAAGCCAAGACATTCTTTCAAGGAAACCACAGCCCATGGCTGCCGCTTTGAAGCAAGGGCGTGTGGCGGGCTCTAGCTCTTCCCTCTGAAGCAGTGCTGAGCTCCTTGACTTCCAATCCCCACTCCCAAGCCAAGTCCTGCTAAAATCATCATTAAATGAAGTTCAAACCAAGAGTCCCTGGTGTCTATACTTGCTGTGCGGTGGTGCCACCCCGAAGCCAATCCACACAAAGTGTGCAACATGCCCCAGACTGGTGGGCCCGCGCTGCCTCAGAGCTCAGCAGCGGGACGGGAATGTCACCACGCTCCTGCTGATGGCCCGGCTGGACACCCTCTAGGCTTTGGGGCCACAAACCAGGCTGTTTCCCTCCTAGAACTACTCATCCACCAAATGCCTGGCTGCTCTGCCCAAGGCCCAGAGACAGGCACTGCTCGGGGTGTCCACGGCCGGTGAGAAGCCCTCACACACGCAGGCCGGCCCGGCCCTGCCCTGCCCGGGGCCCCTGCCCCACAGTCCCTGGACGCCTCACACTTCCCTGTGCCAGCTGCCTCCTGGGGAACTTGACGTTCCCTTGCTTCTCAGCCCTCCTGGGAGGGAGGGGGGGAAGAAGGGCAGGCACACACCGGAAGCCCGCTTCTACTTCCAGAGCCTCAGCCACTCTACCCTGCCCCTTGTGGCAGGCAGCCCATGGCCTGGGTCACCTCTGACGGGGAGGAGCAATGGTTTCTGGCTGCCATCACCCCAGAGGCTCCAAGTCTGCAGAGAAAAGCCACCTTCCCATCTTCAAGCCTCTGCTCTCACTCACCCTGCCCACCGCATGGCTCCATGGCGCTTTCCTTCCTTGCAGGGTCTCCCTATCTCAGTCCGCTTCCACACACCCAGGAAATACGCCAGTCACAGAGTGGAGACCAGCGAGGGCAGTGTGTGGTAAGTGCAGCCCCGGGAATGGCCTCTGCCGGGCGCAGGGGGCCCGGCCCTCAGCTCTGAGCTGGGGTCATCCCTCCAGCTGCTCAGAAGCCAACGCCATGTCTCCACTCCTCACACCGAGGGCCTCTGTCCTAACCTGACACTGCCTCCCCGTGTCCCCAGCAGCCAGCTCAGATGGACACTTGCGTTTCTGAAATCGAGGACACACAAGCGGCCCCAGAGCACTCTGCCCCACCCTGAGAGGTGCTCCCCTTCCGCCCTGCCAGGGCCCGCCCCACCACCCTCCTTCCTCTCTGGCGCCCTCACTGTCTCCGGTGCCTAGCCCACCCTGGAGTGCTCCCTCTTAGACCACATCTTTCACTCAGAAGGTAGATCCATCCATCATTCCCAGAGGCTCCCAGGGTCCGGCTCTGAGTCCTCCCTGGGGAGTGTGCCTCTCCCCTAAGACACATGCGCCAAACTCACTCTGCCTGGAATGGCCCAGCCTCCCCGCGGGGACGCGTGCCCAGCAAGGCCGCCTGGGTGTGCCCACTGCCGCCCAGGGCTCCAATACCTTTTCACTTTATCGGTTGTTTCCTTCTCCAGGATCCAGGCAGGCTGGCCAAGCTTTGATTCTGGTTTTTATTTCTAAAATCAGTGTACCAAGTCCTCAGATCAACTGAGTGGTAGTGCATGTCTATACTCACAGCAACTCAGAGGGCAGAGGTTCCAGGAGAGCCCAGGCAATAAACAGTCAGCAAGACCCTGTCTCAAACACAATCAGTGTGGTGGTATACACCTGCAACCCTAGTGTCTGGAGGTAGAAGCAGGAGGATTACAGTCCAAGAGTGGCCTGGAAAGAGCACAGGCCTCTCTGGAAGGCACCACAAGCACAGGAGAGGGTGTGCCCAGCGTAAGCTCCGAGTTCAAGTGCAACCCCACCGCGCCTCCTCACACGTGTGGACTGCCGCTAGAAAGGAAGGCAGCCTGGGTGTGGACCTGTCCGCAGGCAGGCGGCTACCCAGGACACAGCATCTGCGTGCTGTTTCCCTCCTAGAACTACCCATCCACCAAATGCCTGGCTGCTCGGGGTGTCCACGGCCGGTGAGAAGCCCTCACACACGCAGGCCGGCCCTGCGTCCGTGTGGCTCACCAGCAGCCGGGGGCCTCCGTGCGCCAGCCTTCCAACGGTCGTGGCCGGACGGTCCACTGCCACCTGTCCCTCGAGGTGAGCCAGGTCTGTGCAGCACAGCTTCCCGTGCCAGTGAGAACACCCGTGTGGCCCCCAGCCCGGCGACACCGCCCGCGGGGAGCCACGCACCGACGGCAGGTGAGTGAGGGGTTAAGGACCACGCGTCACTCTGCATCCAAGCCCAAAGCACAGTGCTGTTGCTGGGTGCTCGGCACACTTCAAAGCCACGTCTGGCCCGGAGACTGGTTTGAATTAAGGTCCCTTTTCTTCTTTGAGTCTCTGAGCCTGAGGAGAAAGTGCCGGCTACTTCTGGATCTCATTAGGGACAATTTTCTTATCTTTTCTTCATCTGAGGCTTGATCCCCTGAAAACCCAACCTGGCAGGCTGGGGCTCTGAACAAGGGGCAGCCTTTGAGGCATGCACTGCCCCAAGGGGCCGCCGAGAGGGGGAGCAAAGAAGAGAGGGGGCAGCGAGCTGGCCCTTCTCCCCCATCCCAACGCCTGGGGAACCATAAACAGTAAACTTCAAAGCGCTACTTCACATTAAAATCAATAAAAAAAGAGCCTGAAACAATTCTCCTTTTCAAAGAAGCTAGTGAAGCTTTACAACGCGCAGTGGTAAGATCATCCTGCACGCGCTGGGCAGGACGTGCGAGCAGATCAGAGGCCGCTGGGGCAAAGTTCACCTTAGAGGCCAGCCCGGTGAACCAGGGGAGCCTCCCGGAAGGGCCACACCTCTGGACCTGGGCTAGGGCCAAAAGGCTCAAACTCTTACCCCAGGTCAAAGCGTAGCTGGCAACCAGAGAGTGCAGACGTGCAGTGCGGCAGCAGTAGCAGCAGCGCAGCATCACCACGGGCTCAGATGGCTGGGCTCGGGCCCACTGGGCCTTCAGTCTGAGGCCAGCGTCCACACGGGCAGGACATCCACCATAGGCTACCACAGTGTGGGCACGTACGCTGTTCTCAACTCAGGTTCAGCCATCACCATTACAAGACTGCAGATGAGGGGTGCCTCCGACAGATGGGCGGAAGGCAGGGCAGGCCTCTGAAGGCCCAGTGACTGCCCCTCAGGCCAGCACTGGCCATGCAGCCCACTTCCTTCCTGATTTAATCAAAGGGACCCCTTACTTCTATATGTAACTGAGACTGGAGGCCACCTTTATCGCCTCCCAGCTATTCTTCCAGTGGACCCTGGGGCCAAGACCCAGGTCAACATGAGCAAGAGGACTCACCCAGTATCTCCACAGAGCTCGTGGCAGAACACAGGGCAAAGCCTTTATAGACTGTCCTTGTGCAGCCTTACCCACTGGGCATGCCCAGAGACATGTGCACACACACGGGCACTTCCATCCCCAGAGGTGTAGGTCTCATAAGCACATATGCAACTAGCTGTGCAGATGGGTGCCCAGGCACACACATGCACACATGTAGTAAACTCCAGACGCCTGGCCCACAATGCGCTGTCTCCTTTGCCAAGACGCCTGGTCTCTTGGGTGGGTCAGCCAGGTCACCAACCCTTCTCACAGGCTGCCATGCACCCGAGCTAGGCACTGCCCACAGATCCTCTTCCTGCCCTTTCACAGGGAGAACCCGGCCCGGTCAAGCCCCCTCCTTCTGGTTGAGAGAAATCAGTTTAACATCCGGTGACAAGCAGTTTTAGAAGTGACCACTCTGTGGCCAAGCTTAAGGACAAGGGCTATGTAAGGAAGGGGTGTGAGGCGGACCTTGATTCAGTGTTTATATAAATGAAGAAATGATTTCTTTCCACTCTATAGCAACTCAAAAAAGGTTTGTGGAAGATTAGGAGATAATCCCATTGCTAGGGTTTGCATCTCAGTTTTTGTTAATTAACAGCATGTTCCAGCACTGCATCAAGTCCTTGCCTGTGACATTCACGCTCACCATCAGGATGGACACGGATTCCTGGGCTCTGTCTCAGGCACAGAGGCTGCGCTTACATGTTGAATGCTGAACCGAGCTCATGTGTCTGTGGCCTTTGTCTACAGTTCACAGACACGTTCCCAAGTACCCATCTTGTAAGTGCTCCACAGAGACTGGGGACTCACCTGAAGGCTGCTAAGTACTCTGTGTCTCCCATGGGAGGGTCCAGGCCGCCCGTGAAAGCCATGTTGACCGTGAAGCCCACTCCTGGCCCTGTGCCCACCTGTGGCCAGGAGAGAAACCCATGTCACAGATCCGCGGCAGGAATACCCACTGTTGGTGGCCCTGGGCTGAGGTACCCGCAGGGTCTGCTGCAGGCCTGTATGTCCGGGGCCCCGCAGATTCATTAGTACGTGAGGCTGGGCACCCAAATACCTGATGTGCTAATGTTAAGAATGGAGCAGTTTTCATAAAATGCTTCTGGTGTCAGGGACCTTGAACGGTGGTAACTATGGGGAACCACCTCTGACCTTGTACCACAGGAGTCCCTCTCAGGAACATTCCAAAGACCTGCCCATCTGTGCCATGTGCCACATGCTAACCAGATGGGTCTCCAGGAAGACCATTCTGCTACTTCGCGCTTGCTCGTAGGCAGTGAGAGGCAGGGCAGGCCAAGGAGAGCTGGTGCTGTCCTGCAGCCTCTGTAATCCCGGGGTGGGGGAGGGGGACCCGGTGCTGTACTGCGCCTCCAGATTCCCAGCTGCGAGTGTCACCCCAGTACAGAGCACAGGCTTTCTTGGAAGAGAGTGCACTGCTGGCTCACTCATGCACAAACACTTCCACTGGCCTAGACTGGAGGTGGACTTGAGTCCTTTAATTTACGTTTGTGTGTTAGACAAAACACAGGCCCTGGCCACCTGGAGGAAATGCAGGCTGGCAGGCCGGTGTGCGCCCCGCTCTCCATGGCTCACGGGCGCACTCCCAGCTTCTTACCTCATCAGGTGCCCCGCTGCCCGGGAAGAAGTTCCCGTCGTCGTAGCGGTGCAGGGACACGTAGAGCACACTGGGGTCACTGTAGAAAGCCTGCTGGGTTCCATTCCCGTGGTGCACATCCTGAGGGACCCGGAGAGCCGGCTCAGGCCACCGGGCCTCTCACCTGGGCCCTCACACCTCAGCTGGACCCCTCTACGCCCGGGGGGGGGTGACAGTTCACTCTGGGAGATGGCCTGACACCTCCAAGTGGGCCAGGCACCCCGGCAGGATAGATGAGGGGCACACAGAGGACTGTAGATTCATGAGGAGCTGAATGGGCAGCACATTCTTGGCTCTTGTTTCAGCCACACCCAACTGTGTATCCACAGTGAACCATCCGAAGGGAGGTCTCTGGCCTGGCTGCTGACGGGCACCTGTTGAGCGTCACTCCATGCTGGGGGGTGCCTGGAACCATGTGGCTACAAGTGACAGGGCCCAGGCTCCCATACTGCTCTTGGAGGGTGCTAAGACAGGTCCCTGCACTTCCTGAAGGGCTGTGCCCATCCTTGTCCTGGAACATGGGAGGTGGTTCCCAGAATCAGTGGGGCTGGGCGGCCATGTTTTACATGTATGTGTGTGTGTGTGTGTGTGTGTGTGTGTGTGTATGTGCGCGAGCCAGCTAGGGGTTCTAGCTGGGACTCTTCTAGAGGTTGGTTATGAGCTGTGGGAATGTGGTACTTCCACACAGATGGTCAGTGCTGGGAGCCAGGGGCATCACCATATGCATTTACCTACAGGATGGCCACAGAGCCATCTACAGTCCACACGAGGCCGGCTGTGCTGTCCCTAGTGCACAGCTAGCTCACGCCGGCTAGGCCCACTATGAGGTCCCCTGTATACAGCTAGGCCACTATGCTGTCCCAGTACGTGGCTAGCACATGGCTGGGCCCGCTACGCAGCTCCCAGTACGTGGCTAGCACATGGCTAGGCCAGCTATGCCCCTGGCTACACTACACTGCTCTCTGTGGGAGTCTCTCTCTGCTCCCTAAGGGTCTGGGGAGGCTCTCAGGGCTTGCTGGCTCACTGGTGCCAGCTGAGAGGAGGAAGAACTTCCCTGCCTGGCCTGGCTTTGCTATCTTGGCCAGGTAGGAGCCTGCTACCTACAGACTGAGCGCTGGCTCCTCTCCTGAAGTTTTTCTTTTTTTTTTTTGGGTCTGGTCGTGGGGCCTGAACTCTGGGCCTGGGTGCTGTCCCTCAGCTCTTCAGCTCAAGGCTAGCGCTCTACCACTTGAGCCACAGCGCCACTTCCGGCTTTTTTCATTTTGCTTTATGTGGTGCTGAGGAATCGAACCCAGGGCCTCGAGCATGCAAGGCAAGCGCTCTACCACTGAGCCACCTCCCCAGCCCCTGAAGTTTTTCTTTTCCAGAGCTGGGAAGGATTTCTGCGACACCAATCAGCCCCACCCAGCGTGCCTGCTCTTTCCCCTTTAGAATGCGTGGAGTAAGTCATAAACGCCAAACTGAAAGATGTGTGTGTGTGCACATGCATGCTGCTCAAAGAGGAATACTGAAATGAACACTGAATGCTGTGCTATTTTTGGAATTCGGGTTCAGCCAGAGGCAGCTGTTCTAGGCCATAAGGTGTTGCCTCCCACAGGAAGCTCAGCCGTGTCTTGTAGTACAAGCTAGGCACTCAAGTGGGCTGGGGGGTGGGGGGGGGTGGGGCGCGCTGAGAACCACGCTCAGCCTGTAGCTGGGTGGGCCCACATGCTCAGACCAGAGCCCCAAGGCCAAGGCCAGGCACCACATCCTGGACTTCTGCCTTCCATCAGTTGGTGCTGTGGCTCAGTCCTGGCCACATGCTCAGACCAGAGACCCGAGGCCAAGGCCAGGTAGCACATCCTGGACTTCTGCCTTCCACCAGTCAGTGCTGGGGCTCAGTCCTGGCCACACTCTCAACCCTGAGTCATCTCTACTGCAGGTCAGAGCCTACACACACTGCCAGAGGCCATGAAACACACCCCTCTCTGATCTCTGACATGGGTTCCAGAAAGTTCAGTTCTCTAAGTTCCAGGATCAGTGGAGGTGAAGGTCTGCCTCAGCCAGGCTGTCTGCTCTAGAGACAGGGATGTAGGCCCTTCCGGGCTCCCCTGGGAGGCTGGGCCACTCACCCAGTCGACGATGAGGATCTTGCTCACATTCAGCCTCAGCTGGAGAAGCTTGGCCGCCACTGCCACGGAGTTGAAGTAACAAAACCCCCTGAGGAAAGAGAAGGGTGTCAGGACTATGACAAAATTGCCTGTTCCCTGTTTCTACACAACTTGCAACGCAGCCATCCAAAGCCCAGGAGAGTCTAGAGGGCTCAGGTGGAAGGCGGCAGACCGTTTCTAGCCGCTGGGGGGTGGGGATGACAACCTTAACTGATGGTGCCAACCAAGGAGACGTGAACATACAGACACATAGACACACACGTGTACCAGAGACACACACCAACCCGATATTCAGAGGCATACCTACAGACACACAAACGTATGTATACATATACAGACACACACAGGTACCCATGCCATATGCCAGAAACACAGGCACCACTCAGATACACAGAATAACCACATGCACCACAGATCAGATGATACACACCACCTGGATATAGACATACATGCAGATACAAATACATTCACCCACTACAGATATACGCACCACACAAACACACATATAAGATACACACATACACACCACATAAGTAAACATACCACACAAGCACATGGATACACATACACACCAGACAGCTATATACACACATCACACATGAACACAAACATAGTAAAAACACACATATGTATCACAAAGATGTACACACCACTGATAAGCACACATTTACACTGTGCAGCTCTACACACAGACACATACACAAACACAAAAATTAATACACATACATACAAGCACCAATCAACAAATATGCATACCGCACAGATGTATACAAACTATGTAGCTACAGAGACACAGCCATAGGCATATGTATACACACACCCACACAGAAACAGTGAGGCACAAATAAGTGTGCACACTGTGTGAAAATCCCATGCACAATTCTTGTGAGTCAGGGTGGGAGGCTGTTTTCATAATTGCTGTATTGACCCATGTTTGGGGGGGTGCGGAGAGGGGATAAGTTCAGAAATTTAAAAAAATACACCAAAGACACACTCACATACTACACAGACACACACTAACATGGAAACACATGCATACCACACATATATACACCATCGATATATCCATACATTAAACAAATATACAAATGCACAGATACCACACAAATACTAAATATACAGACATCCATGTGCACAAAACACAGGCACACACGATACAGTTGTACATGCAGAGATACACAGTATAACTGTGGGCACACAGCACACAGGCACACGCACAGCGTTCTTGCCTACGCTCAGGGTGACAGGTCTCTAACAGCAGCTCACACTTAACTTTCTGTATTCTAAGACACCTCATGTGGTAGAGGCGAAGAGAGCTGTTTCAGCCTCTGTCTTTTGAGAAGCCCAGGCTGCCCTGCACGTGCGCTTCCCCACTGCTGACCACATGACTAGAGTTCTATGTGGCTCCTAGAGATGGCATACTTGGACAGCCTATGGGCTTGCACCCTAGCTGGCAAAGGCAGCTGAGAGGAAGCTACAGGTCCAGGACCCCTCTCACCATGTCCAGGTGGCCAGCACCGGCACTGGTGCTCATCAATACCGCCAGGTAGGAACGCCACGCCTCACCTGTCGCACATCCTGACGGGGGTGTCGGGGTGCCGGGATGCCGACTGAGGCCACGCCCTGACGGGGGTGTCGGGGTGCCGGGATGCCGACTGAGGCCACGCCCTGACGGGGGTGTCGGGGTGCCGGGATGCCGACTGAGGCCACGCCCTGCCGTGGCCATGGAGTATCTACTGGTCAGAAGCTACAAGGCCAGGCACGATGTGGTCTGTAGGACTGATGGCTACAAGGCCAGGCACGATGTGGTCTGTAGGACTGATGGCTACAAGGCCAGGCACGATGTGGTCTGTAGGACTGATGGCTACAAGGCCAGGCACGGTGTGGTCTGTAGGACTGATGGCTACAAGGCCAGGCACGGTGTGGTCTGTAGGACTGATGGCTACAAGGCCAGGCACGATGTGGTCTGTAGGACTGATGGCTACAAGGCCAGGCACGGTGTGGTCTGTAGGACTGATGGCGACTGTTGGAAAGCAAGGAGCCATAGGAACCTGTTTCCTCTCCCAAGTGCAACAAAAGCAGCAACCATCTGTGATATCTCTGGACCAGTATCCCTGGGGCCTTCTTTCCTATCACCTGACCTGCCGCTCTTCCTAACAGCCTCCAGGGAAGCCGACAGGCCTTGCGGCCTGGGCTCCTCATCCCCCCAGGGGCCCTTGGCTAGAGATCTCCTCAGCCATGGGAAGGAGCCAGCGACACGCCCAAGGCTTGGGGTGGAGGGTTCAGAGGGCCCGGATGAGCCTACCCCCCCCGCTTCCCACCATCACTCACATGGGGGTGCTCTCCTCAGCATGATGTCCTGGGGGGCGGACCACAGCAAAGCCGTTCTGTGAACACCAGACAGTGAAAAGGGCATGTTGTGCCCACAAGAAAGTCGTTCCAACTCAGACGCTAGAGAAGGCGCCCCCGACACGGACGGCCTTCCGTAAAGCGTGGCCACATCCTTGCGTCACTCCAGCTCACCTCCCAGGGTGGACACTGTGGCCTGCACCACGCCCTGCCTCATTCCAGCTCACCTCCTGGGGATGGACACTGTGGCCTGCACCACACCCTGCCTCATTCCAGCTCACCTCCCGGGGATGGACACTGTGGCCTGCACCACGCCCTGCCTCCTTCCAGCTCACCTCCTGGGGATGGACACTGTGGCACCTCCCGGGGATGGATACTGTGGCCTGCACCACGCCCTGCCCTCCTTCCAGCTCACCTCCCGGGGATGGATACTGTGGCCTGCACCGGCCCCTGCCTCCTTCCAGCTCACCTCCCTGGGATGGACACTGTGGCCTGCACCACGCCCTGCCTCATTCCAGCTCACCTCCTGGGGGTGGACACTGTGGCCTGCACCACGCCCTGCCTCATTCCAGCTCACCTCCCGGGGGTGGATACTGTGGCCTGCACTAGCCCCTGCCCTCCTTCCAGCTCACCTCCTGGGGATGGACACTGTGGCCTGCACTAGCCCCTGCCCTCACTCCAGCTCACCTCCCGGGGATGGACACTGTGGCACCTCCCGGGGATGGACACTGTGGCACCTCCCGGGGATGGACACTGTGGCCTGCACCACGCCCTGCCTCACTCCAGCTCACCTCCCGGGGGTGGACACTGTGGCCTGCACCACCTTCTGTCCTCACTCCAGAGTTCACCTCCCGGGGATGGACACTGTGGCCTGCACCACGCCCTGCCTCCTTCCAGCTCACCTCCTGGGGATGGACACTGTGGCCTGCACCACGCCCTGCCTCATTCCAGCTCACCTCCTGGGGGTGGACACTGTGGCCTGCACCATGCCCTGCCTCATTCCAGCTCACCTCCTGGGGATGGACACTGTGGCCTGCACCACGCCCTGCCCTCCTTCCAGCTCACCTCCCGGGGGTGGACACTGTGGCCTGCACCACCCTCTGTCCTCACTCCAGAGTTCACCTCCTGGGGGTGGATACCCATGGAGCCTGCACTACCATTCCCATGAAGAAATGCTTGGGGACTAGTATCTGTATAGCTGCACCGCCCCCATTATTCATACATTGAAGACACCATAATACTGCAATACAATAGGCAAACTAGGAGGCTGTGTAGTCAAGCTGTCATGGAGCTCAGAGGGGCTGGCCAACCACTAAGGACCCCACTGGGGTGCAGTGAGCTACCCCAGGGAGCAGACTCAGGACAGGGCAATGGTGAGGCTGGGCACATTCAGACTCAATACTGCAATCCCACGTCCTAACTCCTGCCCTTGCAGTCCATCCTCGGCTCTCCAGGTGCTGTCTGCAGGCCCAGGGCTGTTTCTGCAGGTAAGTGCAGGTGCTAAGCAGCAGCGAGCGGTGCATGGAACAGCAGGAGGGGAGGGCGTGCACCCCGGCGTGCACGGAGCGGCCTCTCGGTGCCCAGAGGCAGCATGCTCCCTGGAGTGCTCAGCTTCTGCCGGGGCACAGGGCTCCTTTCCTGTCTCCTGTGGAGAAGCCTGTAGCCCACTGAGAAGTTGTGAGCTGGGCCAGCTCCTTTTTTCAGGGATATCCATTTCCTTTGTGAGAGGGGCAGACATAAGCCACAGGCATTCCAGCTTGGGGAAATCGATACACTTCTCAAAAATAGACAAGCAGGCCTCAGCAATGGAACCTGAGCTCTCAGTGTACGGCTAGTCTGGAAACCTCGTGTCTGCCGCCGTGAGCTCTGAAGAGCTATGTGTGGTGACGGCTTTGGATAGGACACTCACGCTGTGGCAGAGCTCAGGACCAATGCAGTGAGGAGAGGTCTGTGCACCCATTAGGAAGGGAACTGGGCTTGAGTATAATAGAGGGGAAAAAGCCTAGGTGTGGCTTCTGGGTGAGTGCCAGTGTAAGCCAGAGCAGAATGTCCAGGCATCTGGACAACTCTCTCTCTGATCACAGAGCACTTTGTGAATTTCATTGTATGGGTGCAGATTCATGCAAAGGCAGGCATGTAAATCCAGCTGCCACCCACTGAGCCAGCTATCACTGTTACTTTAAAATTACGGTTATCGGATGAGCTAAGTCAGTGAGCCGAAGCCCTTTGGGTGTCTCAAGGATTGTGAAGAGGACAAACCGCTCCCAGGCCCAAACCTGTGACCTGAACAACATTCCCACCGCATGAAGAGCATCCAGCACTTGTCTTGATGTGAGCTGCCTCCCACCAGTCCCGACTGAGCGTGGTCACAAGGTGGGGGGGGGAGGGTGGGTCACTACAGGCCGCCCTCCCCTGGGGCCCGGCCTCCCCTGGGGACCCGGCCCTGCCAGGCTCTGACTGACCTTCAGCTCCCCTGTAACCACCTTGAAGACCAACTCCACCACGCACCCCACTGCAAGGCGGGCCGCCCCTGATGAGTGCACCTCATTCCATATGGTGTCGCTGTCCACCTGTAGAGACAACAATCCCAGAGCCACATCCTGAGGGGCTGCCAAAGTCCCAAGACTGGCTCTGCTCTGGACCTGCCAGAGCTCAGCCTTTCACCAGGGCAGACAGCTTACTCTGGAGCTCATCACATTCTTTAACATGCACCGGAACATACAAATGCAAACAGAAGAGTAAATGAGTAGCCTTTCTCCTCTGGTTGCCTCCACTGGGAGGTAGAACTAAGGACACCACGGTTAAGGAGTGTCTTTCTGTTGACCTGCAAGTGTAGTCAGGAGAGCACGCTAGCCAGTAAGATGGCGCGCCAGAGAGGTTAAACAGACCAGGGCTTCTGTGCTCTTGCTATCACCAGCTGTGCTTAAGCGGGACTGGAGCCTGAGCAGGAGCTCTCCCTGGGGTTGGGGGTCCTCCTACGGGGCTGGAGCCTGAGCAGGAGCTCTCCCTGGGGTTGGGGGTCCTCCTACGGGGCTGGAGCCTGAGCAGGAGCTCTCCCTGGGGTTGGGGGGCCTCCTACGGGGCTGGAGCCTGAGCAGGAGCTCTCCCTGGGGTTGGGGGTCCTCCTACGGGGCTGGAGCCTGAGCAGGAGCTCTCCCTGGGGTTGGGGGGCCTCCTACGGGGCTGGAGCCTGAGCAGGAGCTCTCCCTGGGGTTGGGGGGCCTCCTATTGCCAACTTCCAATGCGAAGGGTAAACGGGCCGACAGGTTCACCTACTGCGCTCAACATAAGACGCATTTTTAAGGCCTAGCTCACAGGAGAGACAGAAAACAGACTCTGACAGGAGAGTGCATCTACAGAGCAGCCCTCGGTGGGAGCCAGACCCAAGCACTGAGCAGCTATTCCAAGTATTACTTGGGCAGAAAGTCTAGTGAGCCACCTCGGGCCTGGGCTTGTGCCCTGCCTGGGGGAAGGTGCTGCTCCTGCCTGGCTGGGCCGTGCCATGCGGTTCCATTCAGTACAAAGCAATCGGACGGCCTCTGAACACTGACTGCTTTGAAACTCCAGCGGGAGCCACCTGCCCAGGCCTGACAGACACTCTGTGGGGAGGCATGGACCTCCCTACTGCCTGATGATTTAAGATTCTTTGATAAGCTAAAGAAATTCCTAGGAGGGATATACAGTGAGGGTTATTCTCTCCAGTGATCAAACCTCAACATTCTTTAAATAGTTTCCAAGTGTCCAAAGAACCAACTAGTGTCCACCGTGCTCACTGTTCCCAAAGCGCTGAGATGACAGCATCAGCTGGGAATAACTCCGTGTGTCACCTACAGAAGTGCTGTGTGCACAGAACAGCTGGCTGGTCACTTCCGCTGGAGAATCGACTCACTGAAATCAAAGGTTGCCAGCACTACAGGACAGACTCCGTCAGCTGCCCAGGCCCTCCAGGGCCAGCAACTCTTGAGGCAGGCTAGGCTAAGGCTGCACCCCGGAAGCCAAAATGACTTGACTGAGATGACTTCCTTCCCAAATGCACGGAGGGGCTGATGGACAACACTGGCCCCATCTGTGGGGCCTGCTGGGCGCCCTGCTCTGCTGGGCGCTTCCTGCAGAGAGCAGGGGGCCAACCTCAACCCTGCCACAGGACAGCAAGTGGTCAGTGCCCTCGACAGTCCGACAAGCCCGCCAGCTGCTCCAGAACCTATGATGCTGAGTCCACTGCATCCTGACTTGGGCACACAGTGCTGGAGGACGGCCCGAGACAGGGGCAGAGGTGCCCGACTCCTGAAGGAGCAGAGAGCAGACAGGCAGGGGAGCATGGGAGACGCGGGGGAGCATGTGGGACTGGGGGTGGTGGAAGCGTGGGGTGAGCTGGGGCGCTGGGAGCCATGGCAGGGTGTGTGTGTGCCCGCAGAGCCTGGGCCCCACTCACAAGCTGGGCTGGGGGAGGGCGCCCACGGAGACTCAAGGACACAGATTCTCACTAATTTAGAACTTGTAATAAAGTGGGGGGGGAGCAAAGTAGAAGTTTCTTTCATATGGTTTGTAAAAAAGGTCAAAACCATTAAAAACCTATATTGAACTGTGAGGACGGGATGCACTGGAAGCTCTGGAAGCAGCCCTGCACAGCTTCACACTGAAGAGGGGCTGCCTTCTCAGGCGGAAGCCTCGGTGCCCTGACTGCTCCGTGGATACCCTAGTGGCTGGCCCTGCTTCTGGAAGCCACTGGGTTGGAGCTGCAGCCGGCTGTGATCCGAGGCCACAGCTTCCCTCCTGGAAGAGGTCCCACGGAGAAGGCGAGCACAGTCCCGCCTCTCACTTGCCTGGGCAGTACCCACTGGCGCCATCAGTGTGCATCTGTGCCCGCGTGAGCGGCAGCGCTGGCTGGTCCACGGGGGCCGCGGGGCTCAAGCCCCACGCCCCAGCCTGCGCTGAGCTGTCCTCTGCAAATCACCAATTCTGTCTTGCACAGGTCTGCTGGCTGCAGGGTACTGCAAACCCAAATCTTTTGAAGTCTGGCCAAAAATTTGCCCCGAATTAAGAGATTGTAGGCTATTTACAATACAAAATAAAATAACTCTTGCAGGGCTCAGCGGTGGTATGAATAAACGCCGTTTATTCTTTTTCTGACGGGATAATGTTCAAAGCAGTGATTTCTGTAAAGACTCAGGAAGAAAACAATTTCGTCTCATTTCCATAACAGAACCCAGACCTGGCCTTCACCTTGCAGTCCGTGATTACACACACGGCGTGGTTCCGGCAACCCTGTCCACGTGCCACGGGAAACACGCAGTCAGCCCATCGGCCAGAGCCTCTGCCCGCTCCGCAATGTGCAGTTCTCCTGGGAGGGCCCCACCCCGCTTCATCCCAGGACCGAGCCAGGGGAGACCCTTGGCTGCCAAGGGAAGGCTTGTGGGAGGCTGGGCCGGCCCTGCACACATGGGAGTGGATCTCCAGCCAGAAACTTGTCCCTTGCCATTCTTGTGCACCTGGCCGTTTCCCTAAGTGCCTCACTTAGAACATCATCTCCTCCAAAGAAAATAAAGGGATGAGAGTCCAGTGCAACCCTACTAGCTGCCCTGCAAACTTCAAATGGCCCACCAGTATCCTGAGTGGAGAACTTTGTCCAGAGCCTCACATTGAAAAACGGACACACAACAAGCACATTCTGCCCAATGAGGCGCTGGGACCTGGGTGTACTTCATCAGTGTCACTGTAGACCCAGAAGCAGACAGACAAGTCTGCACACAGGCTGCACAGGAGCCACGGCCCAGCAGGCCTGTGTTGTGCATGCCGGATGACCTTCCCAGAGAAAGGTGTCCGAGCCCAGCGATCGAACACTCATGACTTGCAGTGCTTTGAAGCCACACACGGGCACCTCTGCCCACAACCCTGTTCATGGAAAACACCTGGTAGCAATTACCCATTCCAGGGAGAGTAAGGCAGTGATTTCTGTAACCACTGGGACTCTGAGAACAAACAGGACATTATTTACACATTAAAGAAATACTTACCCCGACACCACCGCAAGGAAGCCTGACAAACACTGAGGTCAGCGATCCTGCAGGGAGAGAGAGAGAGGTCAGTGATCCCACAGGGGGAGAGAGGTCAGTGATCCCACAAGGGGAAAGACAGACGGGGGGGGGGAGAGAAAGAGAGAGAGAGAGGTATCAGTGATCCTGCAGAGAGACAGGTCAGTGATCCTGCTGGGTGAAAGAGAGGTCAGTGATCCCATGGGAGGGGGGGCAGTGGGAGGGAAGAGGGGAGGGAGGGAGTGTCAGCAATCCTGCAGGGAAGGAGAAAGCAGGGCAAGAGAGGCAAGGGCAGCGCTGGCTCGGGCGTGTTCTGTGGCATGGTGGGACGTGCTGGTGCAGCTCGGCTCTCCAGTGTCACCCAGTGGCCCAGCTACAGCCTCACTACCTGGCTCTACAACTCCCATTCTCCAGGGTGTCAGCCCTTCCTTGGAGGAGGGGAACTCCTGCTAGTGCTCGGCGTTCCTGCTGCCCCCATAGAAAACCCTATTTCCAGACCCCAGCCTTGGCTCCCTGGGGAATTCTACTTGCCAGTTCAGTTCCCAACATGGGTCAGAGGTCTGGAGACCCAGCTCCTCCACTGTCCCCACCCTCCCCCGGCTATGGAGGAGAGAACAGGGCTGGAAGAGGAGGAATCAGGTCTGTGGTGGGGAGGGCCAGACACCAGCCGTGCTTCCCCACTAGTCATCTGACTGGGAGGCCATAGCTGCGGCCTGTGCCCTCCTGCATCACGGAGTACTCAGATCTGACTCCCCTTCCCCGGACCAACTGCCCCCAGAGTAGAGACTGTCTCTTTCCTTGTGTAGCCCTAACAGTGGCAGAATGCAGGACATGGGTCTAAATTCTGGCCTCTAGAGTGTCCAGGCTCCAGCAAGGCTTTCACCCCTCAGAGCTGGCCCAGAAGAGCCAGGTCCTTTCTGCCCCTTGCTCTCCACAGCCCAGCTGTTTCCTGGATCAGCTGTTTCCATGGCACTTGGTGTGTGCCAGGGTCCAGGTTTGCATGATCTCACAGGTCCCACAGGCAGCATGGGACCCCGCTTCCTGGACTTGGCAGGGCTGTGTCCACAGCCAGAGGGCCCACACTCCCTCTGTCCTGTGAAACCTGCTCTGAACCTCAGATGCACACAGAGCATGGGCCGCCTGGTGGCACAGGAGAGCAGGCCTAGGGGACAGCTGGGGCCTGCGTAAGAGCTGTACTTCCTACTACAGGCCCTGGTGACAGCCAGGACTTGAGTGAGCTCACTGGAAATGAGGGCCCTGTGACACACGCAGACCTTTCCACAGGAGGGTTCTCAGTTAGCCATGTCTGTGCTGAAACAACAGTAACTGAGTACTTAGGTGATCCTGCTCATTATCTCAATAGGAGGCTGTTCCGCTACACTGTGCGTCTACCAGCTGCCCATGCATCCTGCCTCCCTGAGAATGCCCCAATTATGCCTGCCCGTGGCTTGTGCCCGTCACCACCAGGACTGGGTGGCAAACGGGACCTGGAGGCCAGCCTGGAGGACCACACCCATTCCCACTGGCTGCTCACGGCTGGTTGGCTGGCTTTCTGGAGGTGTGGGAAAGACACATACCTTCCCGAGCACTTCCAGTTCATCACTGGCTTGCTTGGGCTCTGCCGACCTGCACTGTCCGCAGCTGCTCTGGGCCAGGCTCCCTTTCTAGGTCATGTGGTGTCAGATGCTACCAGGAAACAGACCCCTGGATCCAGAACAGCGAGCAGCACCCTCTGGTGTCTGCAGACTAACTCAGTAGAGTTTGTGCTCCTGGTGGGCCCTGTGGGAGCGGCAAACTACAAAGGGCTTTTTGCCTATGGCATAGCAACCTGTGAATCCGATGAAAAGGAAAAATCACAGCAGCATTTAAGCACCTAATTAGGGTTATGGCAGCATGAGATATCTTAACTATTACTATGTTTGAAAAGTATAAACATGGATTGCAGGTGGTACGAAGGCAATGGACCAAGGAACGTCGGTGCCCTTTGGGCAGATGAAAAAAAGCACAAAAGTCAGTAGGAAAGAAAAGGACACAATGGGCCATCACCTCCAGCCCCCCCCCCCCCCCCCCCCCCCGCCACACCGGTGGGGCTGCAGTACCACGCGGCTGGCACAGCTGATGCACCAAGACAGCTGTTATGGGGGCAGAAGATTCAGGATAAACTCAACCAAGAAACCAAACCATGGCAAGGGCTGGCCGCGGCCAACGAAGGCTTTGATCTGAGGACCAGAATGCCAGGCAAGCTCCAGTCAGTATCCATGGGGGATACCCACGGCCCCCACCCAGGGGGCCTTTGGTTACCAAGAGCCCACCCGATGGAGGCTACTGCGACAGGTTCTAGTCTGGCTTCCCGTCTGCCAGCCAGCTGATGGCACCCAGCCCTGAGTCTGTGGTCCCTGCTCAGAGAGGCTTGGAGCCACAAGGCTGGGTGTCTGCACAGGAGGCCCGGGCTCAGTGGTCTGTACCAATGGGCTCTACCTCCCCTAGTGTTCAGTATGTAGTGGAGCCTCAGTGCTCGATATGCGTCCAGGGAGCCTGCAGGGTCCCATGAGCTTGTCAAGAGCCCATGGGCCTCTGCTGAAGGCCCCGGTGATAAGGTAGTAAAATACATACCATGTATTTCCACAAGGCCAAGGTCTTCTGTGTGTGTGTGGGGGGGGAGTGAGGGGCAGTGGCACCTGCCAGGGCCACAGCCGCCACCACCTCCTGGCATGAGCCTGTCCCCATGGAGCCTAAGGAAGTCATGGCCAGGCTTGTGACCCCTGAGGCCTCCTCTCTGCCTCTGCCACAGGAGCCCAGGAGATGAGCTGTCAACAGGGCAAGGCTGGGTAACATGGGGTGCCCAAGCTTTCCAGAGCAGCCTCTGGGACCCACTCAATGGCTTCAGACTGAAATATCCTAGCGGCCGTGGTGGGAGCTGGTTCTCCTCACTGCCTGGCACGGTGCTGTGGAAGAGGGTCCTCCTTCTCCACTGGCCCTGCAGCACCAGGGTGACGCCCGCAGCCCCACAGCCTGAGGGGCCGCAGCTCGAGCCCAAACCCAGTAAGGAGGTAAAAGGTCTTGAATACCTAGAAGCTTCTTGCTGTCCAGTTTTTGCCTGTTGAGGGGGTTTGTGCCATAGAGCAGTGCGTGGGCCTCTGAGTGCACGGTCTGCAGCTCTTCCAGCGTGGCCTTCCGTCCACGGATGCACTGCGGGGACACAAGGCAAGACACGCTCATACTGTGCCGTCAGACCGCTCAATGCCTGAGGGGGCAGCTCCACGTGCAGGCGAGCAGTTACTGGCTTCTTGCTGCACCAGTGCAGTACTATAAAATATTTTCAGGTGACACTGTAGCTCAAGAGGTAGAGCGCTTGCCTTGAGCTGAAGAGCTGAGGGACAGCGCCCAGGCCCAGAGTTCAAGACCCATGACCGACAAAAAAAAAAAAAAAAAAAAAGTTTCACTGTGGTATTGCCAGGCGCTGGTATAATCCTAGCTACTCAGGAGGCTGAGATCTGAGGATCGCGGTTCAAAGCCTGCCCGGGCAGGAGAGACCTTGAGACTCCTATCTCCAATAAACCACCAGAAAACCGGAAGTGGCGCTGTAGCTTAAGTGGTAGAGCACTAGCCTTGAGCTGAAGAGCTGAGGGACAGAGCCCAGGCCCAGAGTTCAAGCCCCACGACCGACAAAAAAAAAAAATAAATAAAAAATAAAATATTTTCGTGGGCTTGCATTTGAATTACAGCTTTCTACATTTACAAAGGTAGTTCAGCCTTCAAGGTGCGGCCGTTCCCTAGCAGAAATCACAACTCCGTTTTCCAGCAGGGCTCACAGTGAGCCGCCTTGCTGGTTTATGCTTCAGGTAAGGAGAATGTGTACGGTTGGCCAGTGGGACACCATGGTCTGGTGATCCTGGGCCGCAGGCTGGCTTGCGGTCAGGGTCTGGGCCTGTGTGGCGTAGGGGGCTGGGAATCCTGCCTTTTTCTAGTCTTTGGCAAGTCTTCCCATAAAGAACTGTGGGCTATTTTCAGACCTCCCTCAGAAGTGAACAGCAAACATGCTGCTTTCCAGGTGGAGCGCTTCCTCAACCATTAAAGGAACACTGGTTTCTAGCACCAGAGGTCAGGGGCGAGGGTAAGGCAGGGAGGCTTCAGCACTCCGGCGGTGGCTGCCCGTGTTAACAGGGCAGCACACAGATCCACACTTACCTGGCCTAGCACCCACTGACCTGCAGGTCTCACTGTGGCCCCACCGAAATCCTAGCCTGGAAGTGCTCTCAGGCCACTGGCACACCCCGCCCCCCACTTTTCTGAAAGATGGGGGGGGGGCGGCAGGGCGGGTATCAGCTTCATCCATGCAGGGCAAAGAAGGATGGGGTACCTAGTAGATGCCCAGTGGGCAGGAGGGCTACTCTGGAGCTACTAGTAGATGCCCAGTGGGCAGGAGGGCTACTCTGGAGCTACTCTTTATGGCCATCATCATCAGTTCCACAAAATCAGTTCTTCGCTATCAAACTATGTGGGAGAAAAAAAAAGAGGCGGTGCTTTCTAATTGTGGAACACAGCCCAGGATCCCCTCCACAACCTCGTCCCACCTTCACTCTAGGCCAGGAGGAAGAGGACTGGGGAGCAAGTCTCCTGATTGGCTGCTTTTCTCTTGATTAGGGCTGGCCAGTGCCAGATTCTGTCTGCAGAGTGTGCAATCAGGCCACACAATAAGAGGCTACCACAGAGTCAAGTGGCAGTGGCTTAAGTTTGCAATCCTGGCTACTCAAGACATGGAGATGGGAGGATCAGGGTTTTAAAGCCAGTCCCAGCAAAAATGTTCATGAAATTCATCTCTAATTAACCAGTAAAAAGCCAGAAGTGAAGGAGCTATGGTTCAAGTGCTAGAGCAGAAACCTTGACCAAAATAGCTAAGAGATAGCACTCAGGCCCTGAGTTCAAGCTGCAATACCAGGAGGAGAAAAAAAAATAATTAAAAAAGGGGCTATGGGGAGGGCAGGGGTCTGGCCCTCGTGTGACAGGGAGGCTGGTTACGTGGTGGGAGCAAGGGAAGAAAGACCAGACCATCTGCTCTGCTCCGTTGGGTCTCTGGATAAGAGTTTCAAGTGTAGCAACAGATTTCAAGTTAGAACAAAAGGAAGAATCAAAGTACTTAGGCTTGAAAATGTATAAGAGATAAAGACAAGGCTGAACTAGTCAAAGCTTTGGGACCAGATGGGCTATACAAGAGAGCATGAACCCACTTTCCGGTATGAGGCTTGTGAGGAGGAGCAATGCCAGGGTATGGTCTTTGCCTCCTTCTAGTTCCTGGGCAAACATGGACAGGTGCTCCTTGAAGCAGATAATCTGCAGCTTTGAGGAAAGAGTTAATCCTATGGTAGCCAGCTCTCTGTACATCTGACCTTGAGCCCTCTTGTTCCATCCTTGCCTTCCTGACAGGTGGACCTAGAAGATGTCATGTTTGAGCCCTCAACTCCGAAGCCGAATGGGCAGCCGCAGCCCCAGCCCCAGCCCCTTCCGTGGGTAGTGGTCCAACATGGCTTCTAGGACTGCAGACGTTTGAAAGGACTCTGACTGTCCCCAGCACGTCAGGAGGGATCTGGCCACAGCCCTGGCTTGCTAGGATTCTGCCAGCTGTGTTCGAATCCCAGTCGAATCCCAGGTGTGACACCAGAGACTCTGCTCAACCGTCGCCTCCCACCAGCCACTGCTTTCCCCCCAACTCTGTATTCCCACACTCAGTCCCGCCTGGCCCCATGTGCCTTTCTGGTTGAGAAATCACTACCCAGGCCTCTGCTCAAGCTGGCCTCCAGCAAGGGATGTGGCTGAGTAGCAGGTGTGAGTGAAGGCAGGGAACTTCAGGGTGCCCTGGGCTGTTCCCAGAAGGGGCAGGACATGGGGTCCTCTTAGCATGGCCAGGAAGGAGGAAGGCGGTTCATGTGGCTGGTGTCTGTTTGGCAATGCTGCCCCCCAGTGGCACAGCCGCTGGCTAAAATCCAGAAGCAGGTGTCCAGGGCCACCCTGGCCTCACCCTACAACGTCGATTGACCTGAAGTCCTGAATACTAGCAGCCTGGGAAGGCAGAGTAGAGTGTTTACACTGGAGCTCAGAAACCACCACGCTGCAGAGCACTGAGGTGCTCTGCACCGCAGGACAGGCTGCTACACCAGTTCCATGGGGAGACCTGCTGTGCCCGGCCCGGCCGAGGCTTTGCCCAGGATGGCCAGGAATACTGGGGGGACAGATACAGACTGTTCAGTCCAGCTCAGGGGGCTTTCAGAGCAGGTGGATGCTCTGGGCATGCCCAGTTCCGCTCCAGACAGGAAGTGAGGCTTGCCCAGGCCACGAGGCCCAGGCCACACATGCCCATTGCTTGGTGCCTGCGCTACAGCAAGGCTTGAAGCACACATCTTCCTCCTCAGAACTCAGAACCTGGGAGAAAGGCACTGGCTGGGCCTTTCACAGACATGCCTCTTCCTGCCCAGAAGGTGTGGGTGAACACTGGGCCCCCACAGTGGCTAGACCTTCTGTCTAAGATGAAATAAGCTTGGCCATTGCCAGGCAGTCAGAGAAACTGAGGGTCAGTATTGAGAGACACAGCAGGGCTGAACCTTCCCACAAGCCTCAGTGGCAGAGGCAGGGAGTGAAGAATTAAGACTCAAAGCAGAGCAAGCAGAGCAATCTGGGATATTGTGATGTTGCTGTCCATGCTGGCCACTGTCTCTTGGGATCTCACTGAGGGAGAATTGAGACTGAAGCTCCATGCACATTCCCAGAGCAATTGTGCAAAACATCAGAACAAAAGAACATGGGCCTCAACAAGAAGCCAGGAGGCCTGATCTGAGAATGTGTCCCTTAGTCTCTGCCTCTCACTATCCCTGAAGAGACCTGGGCATAGGTCCTGGGAGCCTGCCCTGGGCAGCTGAGAGCAGCCCAGTGGGGATCACACTTCCCCGAAGCATCGGGAAGAAGGCACAGACACAGAACATTGAAGGGCAAAGCACAGAGGCACTGCTTCCCGCAGGGAGGAATGTGGAAAGCCACTCTGGGCTTTGCTGTGGTTGGGAGACAGTGCATCCTCAAGGGCCCTGGTGCTGGAAGCTTGTTCTGCAGTATGGTGTTACTGAATCTGGGGGTTCATTCAGCAAGAGGCGGGCCGTGTGGGAGGCAATCAGGACAGGGAGCTCTGGCTCAGGGAGGATCAGAACTCAGGTCTTGTGTGACCGGGCTAGTTCTCATGAGAGGCGTTGTTATAAAGAATACGGCCCATGCCCTTGGCTCTTCTACTTGTGAAAGACTCCTTTTCTCTTTCTCCGCCATGTTGGGACATACACCAGGCCTTACCACCTTACCAATGCTGACTTACGACAGAGCCTGGACTCCACAGTCACCAGAGCGTTGGCCCTGTCCCTCCCATTATCCCAGCATGCTGAGGCCCTTGGTGCCATGGTGATGCTGGCAGTGATGGCAGCCCTGCCCTCCCGGCCCTGCCCCCGCCCCGCCCCTGCCCTCCCTGCCCCGCCCCTGCAGGCTCGGCGTACCTCACACTTGCTGCGCAGGCCTGTCTCCTGCAGGCGGGACCAGATGCTCTGGATCCTCCCAGCATGCTCAGGGTGGCTGTTAGTGTTCCCACAGGTGCACTGGTGCTTTAGCATCAGCGTGTCATACACAAGGCCTGCAACAGGTTGGAAGTAGCCCAGGTCAGAGAAGCTGTCCAGGTCTGAGCTGGCCATTGCTTTAGTGCTGGCTGTTGTCCAGGCCAGTGGCAGACCCTCCCCACCTCCCCGTAGAGAATGGAGAATGGGCAATTCTTTAGAAACATACCAAGGTCACCCTGCCCAGGTGGCATGGATGGAGGCAGAGGGAGGCTGGGGTGGGGGCGGCCAGCTGCTTAGCCCCCATATCACTCAGTGGCCCTGCGTGGGAGGTGTGCAGTTGTACCAGACCCAAGTTGTAGAGAAACAGGTGTAAGGAAAGTGCCTTGGAGTCAGACGTCACAGCCTGAGGTCTGAGTGGGAGCAGGAGCGTGGCCTGCAGCATGCAGGTCTGTGTGCACAGGGCCAGCCTCTATACTATGCAGCTCCAGTGGCTGGAAACTGTTTAAGACACATGGTGCTCCAAGAAGCCCAGGACTCAGGTCCTGCATCAGAGGCTTCTAGAAGCTGGGGTGGCCTGTGTGGGAGGGAGCAAACCCAGGCCAACTTGTAGGATGTGCACGCGCAAGCCGGCACTGACTGACCCAGAGAGCGCAGCGGAGGGCAGGGCCTCTCTCCTCTCCAGCTCCACTGCCCAGCTTTGCTCAGGGGAACTGGGTGACTGGAATACAACTGCCTTCAGAATCACCCAAGTGAGCTTGACATCACTGTTACGGGAGAAAGCAGCACGGAGACCAGGAGGGTGCCCAGGCTTGCAGATCAGAGGCGGGGCAGAGCCGCCAGTGGAAGGCAACAGGAGGCTGCAGAGTGTGGGGAGGGGCCCAGAGGGCGTGAGGCACTAACAAGCACACCGACAGCCAACGGCCCTGCTGAGAAATACACCTGCAAACTTCCTCCCTGCCAATGGCCTACAGCAGGAAGCGCCAGGCAGTGCCGGTTTCCTCAAGTTCCATCATATTGGCTGTACACAAGCAACTTACCAACTGCTGTGCCGCTAACTAGCATGTGTAGGAGGGTCTCCTTCCCCAGCCCCCAAGGACTCTGTCTGTATGTGGAAAGTGAGCACTGTCCTGGCATGGCTCTGAGCTGCATTCTGTTAAGAACACCATTGACTGGCCAAGCTTATAGTGAGAGCGCTTGGCCGTGTGACCCTCTACCATTTTCAATTTCTGAATAATTACTACTAAAAATGACCTCAATATGGACAGTTTCCTTCTGAGGCCTGGGAAGGTAACACGGACGTATTTGCTGGGTACAGAGTAACAAGTCTGCAAATGATGCTTGTGGAAGCTGCGATGACTTGACAGGAGGGCGGCTTAGGTGCCGAAGCAGAGGAGGTAGGGAACGGTCCCTGGACCAAGGGCTCTGCTCTCCCATGGTGTTCAAATGCCCAGTGTACTGACTGCAGCAGCACGCCAAGGAGGCGTTGGTGCCAATGCCATTTACACAGGCGTGAGTGAGAGCACTCATGCTAAGCGGAGAGAGGAGCCTTGAAGCCTACGTGGCACGTGGGGTGGGGGGGTGCTGCTCTCTGCAGAAGACCACGGTTCTCTGGAGTGGCAGGCTGAGCTGGTGTTCGGTCTGGGAACAACATTAATAGGGAGAGATCCATGCAGCAGAGCGTGGCTTTGGGGTCCAGCACAGCAGTGGCGATCTGTGCCTCTGGACAGTGAGCCCTGGGGGCCGTGCCTCTGGACGGCGAGCCCTGGAGCCCCCCGGGGGCCCGTGCCTCTGGACGGCGAGCCCTGGAGCCCCCCGGGGGCCCGTGCCTCTGGACAGTGAGCCCTGGAGCCCCCTGGGGGCCTGTGCCTCTGGACAGCGAGCCCTGGGGGCCCCTGGAGCCCTGTGTCCCTGGACGGTGAGCCCTGGGGGCCCCTGGAGCCCTGTGTCCCTGGACGGCGAGCCCTGGGGGCCCCTGGAGCCCTGTGTCCCTGGACGGCGAGCCCTGGAGCCCCCCGGGGGCCCGTGCCTCTGGACAGTGAGCCCTGGGGCCCATGCCTCTGGATGGCGAGCCCTGGAGCCCCCTGGAGCCCCGGGGGCTCTGGCTGTGACAGTGCTCCCTGCCTGCTGTAGCAGGCCCATGCAGCCTGAGCGGGCTGTGTGGGGGCTGTGTGTTACCTGTGGTGAACCTTGGCTTGGTGGATGGCTCCTGGACTGACATGGGGAAGGTGGCGGAGGCTGGAGACGACTGTGCCCGAGACAGAGGCCTGTGGCTGCCGAACGACACGGGGATGCCAGCAGCCTCCATGGACGCCTGGAAGTTCCTCAGCTGGTGGATCCGCTGCTGCTCCAACAGGAGGGCTTGCTGTGGGGGGAAGTGGATTGGTGGGTGCTGAAGACCTGCATGCATCACTCACTCAAATGACCACATCCGACCCCGGATGCTCCCTAGAGCCCCGCCACAAGGGCACGTGGCCACAGACAGGACATGGAGCAGGGGCAGAGGGGAGAAGACTCTGAGGACTTGACATCCCAGAAGGAAGCTCCCGCCAAGAGCCACGTGGAGGGCAGCAGGTGGCTGCCACAGTGGGCCACGGTGGCTCCTCTGAGGAGGTGCTGAGCACAGGAACAGCTGGGACCAGGTGAAATGACACATCCAGGACTCAGCCCCTGAGGGGGCGGTGACCTCGGACCCTCAGCTGGGGACACTGAATGCTCACTCTGGCCACAGTGAAGTTGGTAGTGAGCAGCCAGCCTCTGCCGGTAGCTCTGACCAAGAGTGCCCAACCGGCACGGGCAGCCAGCCGGAGTAAACCCCAGGTGCAGGGGAGTTAGCTTGACTCCAGGCTCGGCCTGGACCATGCCAGCACGTTCACCAAGGACAGACTGTGGAAGAAATGAAGGCGTGTACTTGGGGCTCAGGCCCTCAGGGGTCAGATGCCTGGGAGTGTGTGGAAGCGCCTTTGGGGACGTGGAGGTGGAGGTGAGTGGAGTGTGGAGGTCACTGGCCAGGGTTTGGGGACGCTAATGGGATCCAGGGGACGGATTATCTGCCGGCAGAGTGGTGTGGGCGGGGGCCACGGAGGACCAGGAAGATGCTTGGCCCTCCAGAGGTGACTGCTTCCTAGGGCCACCTACACAGCTACAGAGGGACAGCGATGATCGGCCACAATACAGGAGAAAGCAGCGCCTCCCACCCAAGTCCTGTCTGAGCGTGGAGAAACCAATTCTGTGCCCTTGGAAGGTCAGGCCGACAAAAAATCTCAGCTGTTCATTAGCAGGGCCTAGCCCGACAGTGCCGGGAGAGCTGCTCAGCCAGGCCTCAATCTTCCTGCCCTTAGGAATCAGGGTCAGAGAGCAGAGAGGAGGGGAATGAGCACAGGAACATGGGAGCTCCAGGGAGGGAGGCACAGAGCCTCCAGAAGGAGGGCCCAGAGGAGACTTCTATAAGCCCCCAGCCTGCCTCACAATGCACCTATCCGGGCTTGATCTCGTGTGTGTGTGCGTGTGCGTGTGTGTGTGCCTGTGTGCCTCACACATACAAGGCAAACACTCCACTCCCAAGCTGCAGGTCTAGCCCATGCCTGATGTTCTGAAGACTCAGATGTCCCATCCCATGCAAACTACCTACTGCCAACACACACCCTGCTAAGGAGCTCTGCTTGGTGTTCTCCAGAAGACAGAGGAAGGGTTCCTAGAAAGTGACTTCTGTGTGGAGAATGACCAGGCCTTTCTCTGAGTAAATGCCCATCAACGTAGCAGCCTCTACCAGATACCAACCTTAAAATCAGCTACCAAGACATGTCACCTATCCACATGATGACAAGCCCTCCAATTCCAGTGATAGTGAAGTAAGGAGACTGAGTCTAAAACATTTCTTGCAGCCATCTTGGTGCCTAGGCGGGAGATGGGGGGAGGGGGGGCTTTCCACCCAGCTCCAAGGCCTAGAGGTGAGACAAGCCATCCTTTGAAGTGCAGATGCCTGGCTCAAGGTGGGCTAGGAGGATACTGCTTCAGAGGCATGTAGATATTATCTTGTTTTCCTAGTGGGAAAAAATTACCCCAAGGTGATAGGCATGCCTGGACCCCTGGAGGCAGGGCAGGCCCTTGGCTGATAGGCTGCTGAACCTGTCAGTCCAGTGCCTGGGACCTGACCCCTGACCTGACCCTATTTAGGCCTGGACCAGCACAGGTACCATGATGCCATGCCATGTGTCTCTGTGACCATTTCCTGTGTCCTATCTTGTCTCCAAGTCACCGTGGCAGCTAGAGCTGAATTGGTTTGCTGGTATTGTTTTTGTTCCTCCTTTCCACTCCGGCCTGTGTTAACTGTATTTGTGGGCTGCAGGCCTTTGTTACAATGAGCAGCCTGCTGACTGCTAGTGCCCTAATAAAGACCCCAAGATCCCATCTTCCAAAATGTGGCCTCACTGACAATTTACCTTACAACAACGGTAAGGGGCTTGCTCCTTCACAGACTTCTGAGAGCCTATCGGAGATTGTGAAGGTCGCCCCACAGGGGCCTGTCCACCAAGGAGAGGTGGTAGACAGAGGTGGATGGCCTGGCTGTGAATTACTCTGTGTTGGACCATGGGAACTCTGGCTTTCTTTGGTCATCCTGTCAGTTCCACTGGGCTTGGAAAAGCAGGTTAGTGTAAGAGGTGCTAATTGAGTGGCCTTAGGAATCAGACGGGCTGCCTATAACTAAGAAGGAGGAGACAGCTGCTAGGGACGCCAGTGTGGCCTCCTGAGCCAGGCACTCTCAGAATCCAAGCCGGTGCCTGTGCCGCACGGATGCAGCAGGGGAGGGTTCCACACCCAGGCACAGCTTCAGGTGGGAAGGGAAGCGAACACTACCACCAGGGTCGTCTTGTCCTGAGATTTACAAGAGCCAGGAACTGGAGAGGCAGCATCATTCACATGCTGGGGGGGGGGGGGGGGGAGGTGCTTAGTTGGACAGCACACTGGTTCCTGTGCCCTCGACACAAACCCAGGCAGCGAGTCCCATGCTTAAGGTACAACTAAATTCCACTGCTGGCTCACTTCCTGACCATCGGGCAGAAACAGCCTCCCTGTGGCATTCTGGCTGCTAAGCCAGGGTTTCTCACTCATTGGCCAACTGTCTTCAGTAATTCTGTAGAGTTGGCAGTGTTATATATAACTGGAATGAACAGGTCGTTTACTGAATTTTTCCATCAGTCCCTTTGGAGTTTGGTTATTGTGTGCCTGCATCTTACCGGCTCCGGGCACCCAAGCCATAACACTGTTTTGGATCCACAATGCCAGTTACTCACACCTCTGTGGCCTTAGAGGGGACAGGCTCATGATCAGACTCTGCCTACATTTTGGACAATTAGAAAGCCAACCTTTCTCCTCAGCTTCAGCAGTATGTGGAATCTCACAAGACCAAGGGAAAACTGCCCCCAGGAGCCTGGAGCCAGGTTTGCAGGACGTGCATACCCAGAGAGGGTCGGACTCCAGACCACCTGGGAATGGAGTGTGAAGCAATCCCACCCCCCTCCCTCGTGCGCTAGGAAGACAGGCAAAGCATTCCTATGGGATCAGAGGGAGGCCTCTGAGGGTGTTGCTCTCATGGCTCTGGCTTTCCAGTACCTGTCTGAAGAGCAGTTCCTGCTCAGTGGGTGGGCGCTGGCCTTGTTCCGCTTCCCGCACAGACTCCGCCTCCTCTTCATCACTCTCAATGGGTTCCTGCTTCACCTGGATGCTGGCCAATGGGTGGGCCTCCTTCTGTCCGGGGGGCCGGTCGAGGAAGGGCTCATCCAGCAGGGCCTGGTGCTCTCGGAGCTCCTCCTCGGTCTCCTCAGGATGGCTTTCAGGCTGCCGACCTGGCTCACTTGGTTTGGGGATAATCTGCAATGCAGAGGACATGAAGCTCAGGCAGGTGGTTATATCAGAAACGGCTCCTCGCATGTCAGCCCTTCAGGAAAGCCAACCTGAGAGAATGCTGTGTCCCTGAGCCCCGGCCAGCAGGCACCACTCATCTACCCACAGAAGCCAGACCCCAGGTACACTGCTGTGCAAAGAAAATGACGGTGGCTGGAATCTAGCCCAGGGCCCCAGGGACCTGGCCTGGGGAGGAGGCAGACTGGTCTTGGTTTTCACAAAGCTCTTCTTGTGGGCTAGGAACAAGACGAAGAGAAACCCATGCGAGGTTTCAGTACAGTGTGCAGAGGAGTGAGTGGGGAATGCGGAGGGAGTCTGGCACCACACACATCGCCTCGGCTGCGAGGCACTCCCACGCTCGTCCAGCTGGCCATCCAGCAAGACACACTGGGGAGCCAGGGGAGAGCTCGGAAGAGAGGAACAGAAGCGGACACCATAGGCCTGAGCTGACGAAGGTGCCCAGAGGCAACAACTGGCCGAGCCGCTGCCAGCTTTGCGAGCTGTGGAAATTACAAGCAGATAGGCTAGGAGCAGGTGCCATGCTCCCCAGGGCTTTGGTGGGCCTCTGTGAAGATGGGTCTCTGAACAACTGCTAGGGACCATCTCTAAATGCTAAGAGGCAGCATGGGGGAAGTGTGGAGATGCTGGCTACAAGCAGTCCTTTACGAGTTGGTGACTCTGGCTCTATCCTTGGAAGAACGTATCACCTAGCTTGATTCAAAGATCTTCTCACGTTGGAACTGTGCCACGTCATCACCCAATCTCAGACACCCTCAACACAAGCTAGAAAAACCGAGTTCCTACACACCAGCCCGCCCCCAGCCTTCCACCTGGCTGCCAGGACAGGTGCCTCACTCCAGCTTTCCTACCAGAAGTTTCTAAATAACCATGTCACTTGATGGCATTGACGTGTGTCAACTTCCCTTCCTTTACACCCCCCGAGCCCTCGAATCTTGGCCTGGCAAGAAGAGCAGAGGACAGGAGCCTGTGGGACAGGGCAGCTGGGGCACTGGGTCTCAGGCCTTCTGGGTTGACTTGAGCCTGGCTCAGGCAGCCAAGTCATGGGCTTGAGGACGCCTGCCTGGGGGCCACTGGTGCCGCTTGTCCTGCATCGTCCGGGCAGTCTGATTGCTCGTAGGCTGAGAGGTTCTGGGGGCTGGCAAAGCGCAGCACAGGCACACGGAGGGGGAATTCTGAAAGAACCTGGAGGAAGCGGCTTAGAAGGCAGTCAGATGGCTGTTGGAAGTTGTGACCCAGAGGTTGGCACAATACAGGAGGAGGAACGAGGGCAGCCCAGGTGGGAGGAAGATGAACTTGGGTCTTCAGGAGAAGAGATTTCTGGGGCTTGAGCTCAGGGCCTCAAGCTCTTGTTTGGCTTACGCATATAGTTAGCACTCTATCACTTGAGCCAAGCTTCTAGGCTAATGTTTTGCTACTGAGTTGGAGATGAAGTCACATGGACTTTTCTGCCCAGGCTGGCTTTGAACCATGATCCTTTAGATCTCAGTCTCCTTGAGGACTAGGATCACAGGTGTGAGCCACCAGTGTCTGGCTGAGATGTCTAAGGAGTCTGAGGGCACAAGTGTCAACAGGCTGCAAATGCAGGGATTGGGTAATGGCAGAGAAACAGACCCCAGACCACAGAGCTAAAAACAGGAAGACAAGTCAGACCACAGGTCCGAGCAGAGGGGGATGGGGGAGGCCTGGTGCATGCGTCATGTCCTAGGGGTCCAGAGGCTCCCGTGGCAGGCAGCGCAGATCTGCCAGGCCTCCTTCTACAGGTGCCCAGGAGGGTCGTCACCACGGCAGCAGGGCCACCACATCAAAGGCCTGTCAGTGATGCCTACCAGGCCCACGGCCCTCAGTCCAGGGCCACGCAGCCAGTGCTGCCGCGGGCACTGCCACAGCCAGCCTCCGGCACTGCTGGTCACAAACAAAGCCCCCTTCTCTTTGGAATATAGTGCTGTTGCTCTGGACTATGGCTGGAGCCTGGCAGCACAGCAGGCTCAGGCAGTAAAGCTAGCAGCAGGCAGTGTGGCAAAGAAGCCAGCACCTCACCAACACATCAGCTCGCCTATCTCTACCAAGTAAACGCAAACGCACCTCCACGTCCAGAACAATAACGTTTCAAAAAGTGAGACCAGCATTCAGGGCCAGAAGGCACCAGCAAGCACGCCAGCATTTATACACTGGACACTCCTAATTCAACCACCCCACGTACCCTGATTTTCAGGTTGCTACGCAGAGGGCAGCGGAGCCACCCGAGGAGCACAGCCCACACTCGAGCTCTGTGATCATGGGCTGCAGAGATGGGGGAACCGCCTATCCGTCACAGTAGAGATGCCTTCCACCTCCCCGTTCAGAAGGAAAAGTCCCATGTACCCAACAGGCTGTGGTGCCGAGGGCTGTGGGGCCTCTGGACAACTTTCCTCGGAAGGCTCCCATCCCCCACAGCCTTGAAGCAGGCCTACACCCGAGCGGGGGGGACTGCAAACACAAGGGCCCCAACCCCCAAGGAGACAAGGGAGCAGCCTGGCCTGCTCTGTCCCTTGAGGGGTCTCATCCAAGCAGGCCTTTCTCCAGGCTGTTCACCTCAAGACAACTAGAATGGCTAGGAAGGCTGCTGGGGACCAAGGATGGGCAGCCTTTCTGCTGTACTGACATCTTCAGGGCACCGACGGCCTAAGACAGGCTGACTGAGCAGTAGGCCAGGAGTCTGACTGACATCCCCACGGCAGGGCTGGCACCACCAACCACCCTAAGGAAGCAGGCCCAGAGACCAGCGCAGAACATTGCTGCCATCTTCCCAGCGCCCTGGGAAAACATTGTATAAACCCTTCAATCAAGTGTCATTTGCTACCATAAATCAATCATGTACCAAAATCCAGTGAGATTACCTGGTTCCTAAATCATTCTTTTTAAGAACATGCCACACAAGAAGGGTGTTTCCTGTCTTCCTCAAGCCTCCTACCATATCACTGATTGTGACATGTGAAATTAACAAGGCTTGTCTGACATTAGAAAGTGCTTCTGTCACCTGGGAGTACAGATCCTTGGCGGATAGCTGCTTCACCCCTACAAGTGCAGTTGAGGAGATGCCTGGCACCCTCCCTTCCAAATGCAGTGGATGGGGGTGAGGGAGGGCCCAGGGTGCAGTGCCTGGTGGGTAGAGGGGCCCTGGCCGAGCCTCTGCAGACCCCTGGTCTGTGGTCAGAGGGCTCCTTGTCTGGAACCTTCCAGCCAACATGGGAAGCACAGCAGGCAGATGTTCACAGGTGCTGTCCCCATCTTGAGGGCAGCCCCATCCTGGGAGTCCCTATCAAGCCTTCAGCAACACCGAGGGCTCTGCAGGTTCTGCTTGGCTGGAGATGGGTCTTGCGGAGGAAACCAGGACCAAGCAGGAGGGACGGATGGTACCATGTGGCCAGCCATGTTCCCCTCAAGTGTGTGGTCAGAATAGGGGAGGGGTCTCTCTCAAGGCTCTGCCCCTGCATCTGACCAGTCAGGAAAGACCCTCCCTGCTGCCCCTCCCCAAGCTTCCGATTCCTCAGAAGGCCTGGAACCTGATGACAGACAGGACACACATGATTGGGAGTGGGGGCTGGGAGAGGGGCTCTCTGCAGTCTGGCTAAAGCGGGGAGCCCTCAGAGGAAAGACGGCAGAAAAATCCTGCTCCTTCAGAAAACCAGAGGTCCCTTTCTATCTCTCAGCCTCCTGTGCTCTCTTGTAACAGCTTTATTGAAGAATACAGTCATCTTCCTTACTCTCCATGTTTTCCAGTCAACAGAAGCTTCAAATTATTGAACAGCACAGTTCAGAAATAATAAACGATGTGTAAGTTTTGACCTACACCTTTCTGCATAGTGTGAGAGATTTTGAACCCACTGACTCTGGCCCACCCAGTACGTGTTCTAGCCTTTATGCGGTCTCCATATGGTGCTCAGTACCCTTTGTGCTGGCTGGGCTGCTCTGGTGCGGTGGTGTATGTGTGTGGGGCTTTGTGCTGTGTTACCCTGCTCCGGTGTGGTGTGGTGGTGGTGGTGTGTGTGCGCACGCGTGTGTGTGGGGTTCCTTGTGCTGTGTCAGGCTGTTCCAGTACGGTGGAGTGTGTATGGGGCTCTGTACTATCTACTGTTTTAGGCAACCACTATAAGCCCCACTATGGATGAGGGAGGATTATTATATTCACAAATCATAAAACTCACTCATAAGTTGGGTGATTTCAGTTTTTGGTTTATTTATAGAGCTGTGAAGCCACCACTATAATCTAGAATACTCTAAAAATAAATGCTGCACCCACCGGCAGTGTTCCCTGTCTCCCACAGCACCTGGGATTTGCCTACATTGGGCATTTCACATGACTGACGCCATGAGGCGTGTGGTCTTTGTGACTCTTACTTCTCTAGGTGTAATGCTTCTACCCCTGCCAGGTACGCTCTGCCGTGTGCCGCTCAGGCCTTCATTACTGGATAGAAGCTGGGTGGGGCCGGTGGTCCATGTCTGTGAAGACTCGTTTCCATTTCTCTTGGGTTATGGGACAGTTCCCAAGGAACTCTGGGCTGTTTTCACCATGGTTTATCCGATCTTTATACTAAAAATGCTTCACTTCAGAGGCCAGTATTGGATGCAAACTCAGGGAATAAAAACTTGGTTTTCCTATCAGCCAGCACTGTAACACTAACCTTTCCTACTGCTTCCTCTTGAAATGGATCTGAGTGATGGGAAAATTCTGTGCACACATGGGCTGCTGCAGGAGAGTTGGGCCCAAAATCATTCCCATGTGGCTCCAACAGGTAAGGAGTTTAAAGGTGCCAGGTGACTTGGAAAGTCACCCGGGGACCTGATACCACTGTAAGGTTGGGGACTTGAGCAGGTGTTTGCTTAAAGATCTATAATGGTAAATGACCTTCGGAAACTCGAGAAGGAGAGCTGCTCATACCTGCAAAGACTTCCTGCGCAGGTGGCCAGGCCGGGCTCGTGTGTGCCAGGGGCTGGGGCTGGGGCTGGGGCTGTGGGACTCGGGCTGCCTGCAGCACCCTGCTCTGCATAGCACCGCACCTTCCTAGGTTCTGAACTTGGCGCCATCCTTCTGGGCATAGTGGGCAGGGAGTGAGGTGAGCACCTTTCTGGGTGCAGACTCAGCTCACTCATGTGCTCTTGGCTCCGGGTCAGTGGGCAGAGGGGCGAGAGCGCAGGCCCACCTTGCTGAGGTGCAGCTGCTGCTGCTGGAACTGCTGCTTGTGCTTCTCCAGGAACTGCTGGTGCTGCTGCTGGATGACCAGGTGCTGCAGAGCCTGCGCGCTCTGTGGCAGGGGCGCCGACTGCGTGCGCCCCAGCGGGCGGTGCTGCCGCAGCTTGTGCACAGACGGGGACAGGCGGTCTGCACTGACCAGGGGCTGTGCGTGGAGGGGCAACGCCCCCAGGCCTGAAAGATAGCAGTCTGAGGATAATGTGAGGAACACACCGCAGAGGGGACAGGAAGGCGGGAGGGGCGAAAGGCTGTTGAGTAAGCTATGGGGACCGTGGTGTGCACCTGCCAGTGCAGGTGCCCTTTCTCACTGTGCCACAGCCATCTTGCTAATGGTGGATGTGAGCCCATGGCTGGGCTTCGGGAGGACACGGGCCAGTCTGGAAGCCACTGAGATCAGGTCTCTGGAGCCCACTGGGGACCCTCCCTGAGGAGGCAGCACCAGGGCATCAGACCACAGCCCTCCTGGGGACCAGCATGTCCTCCACAGTGGCCTGTTTTCAGTTCCGCATGCACAGGCCCCCGCACCAGCACCAGCGCGGCCAGCCTGTAGTGTGCAGATATACTGTACAGCCACCTCCGAGACTCGGCATCCCTGAGCAGGAAACTTCACTGTGTGCCAAATGTGAGTGGGTGCTGGGAGTGGAAGGGAGGACAGCAAGTGGAAGGAAGCCAGTCTTCCCCAGGGGAGGGAGCTGAGCAGGAGAGATTGAAGCAGGCTTACAGCTGAAGGCAGAGCCAGGCTAGCAGAGCAGATATAACACAGCTTGTGATGGTAGAGGATGGCGGCTTTGGAACAGGGCGCAGAGCCGGTAAGCCTGAGATAGGACCAGGGCTTTAGAAAAGGGTATTCCACATGCCCCTCTGGCTGGCCTGTCCTGGGTACTAGGCAAGGAGGAGGGGAGGAGGCCCTTAGTACAAGACTGCTGCCCATGCTAAGGAGCCGGGTCTGGATGCCAGGTCAGTGCTGTGGGCAGCATGCTAGGGAGCCAGGTCTGGATGCCAGGTCAGTGCAGTAGACAGCTTGCTAGGGAGCCGGGTCTGGATGCCAGGTCAGTGCAGTAGGCAGCATGCTAGGGAGCCAGGTCTGGATGCCAGGTCAGTGCAGTAGGCAGCATGCTAGGGAGCCAGGTCTGGATGCCAGGTCAGTGCAGTAGACAGCTTGCTAGGGAGCCGGGTCTGGATGCCAGGTCAGTGCAGTAGGCAGCGTGCTAGGGAGCTGGGTCTGGATGCCAGGTCAGTGCAGTAGGCAGCGTGCTAGGGAGCTGGGTCTGGATGCCAGGTCAGTGCTGTGGGCAGCATGCTAAGGAGCTGTTTACTGGGAGCTGCAGTCACAGGAGCTTCTGAGGTGCTACTTCATGCTGGAGAGCACTGTATTTCTGCTCTGAGTTGAGCGCTCCTATGGTTGGTGGCTTCTGCACTGGATCTACCGCTCTACATCTGGGGTGGGGAATGTCTGGGGCCTGGGCCATACAAAGTCCATGAGATCACTTAGTGTATGGAGGGACAGTTATGTACATTTCTTGTCAGCTGCTTGAGTTGGTAATTTCATGTGGCTCATAAATGATGTTATCAATATCCAAATGGCCCCTGGCAGAATAAACATCCCTAGCCCTGCCCTAGCTGACAGGCAGCTTGGGGCTCTGAGAACAGTGCTAAGGACAGATGTGGGAAGGAGAAATCCTACTCAGGAAGCTACTTCCCTCAGGAGAACAGAAGGACCCCGGTGAGATCCCAGACACAGGCCATGCGGCAGGGAGGGAGAAGGCTGCTCTAGGAAGGGAAGCATGGAAGTGAAAGGCTACAGAATCCACTGCCGCCACCAGGAGACCCACAGCCTTCAGCCTCGTCATTCTCCATGCCAGCACCCTATCCACAGCTGGAAAAATGAGGCCCACAGACAATAAATGTCTTCCTGAGGTCTGAGTGGGTTAACCTCAGACATCTGATAAAGCGGGATAAGGCGAGGCTGAGTGCAGGTCGGGCATGGGGTGCGGAGGTGCCCCCAGTGCTTCAGCCAGTGCCTGGCGCCAACACAACATGGCTGTACAGATCAGTGCCTGAGAACAGCTAAGTGTTCAAGGAAGACAGACAGGAACACAAAACCAAGCTCAAACACACACACACACATCTGTAATCTGGGTTCCACACCAGACCACACACCGAGTGTGACCAAGGTAGATGTCAGGGTGACACGAGGCCAGCTCCAGGCTCTTGGGCGGCTGACCTTCGACGTCCAGGAAGCCACCCTGGGCCAGGGCTGGGAGGCGGGCATGGCGACCCGGGGCGGCCCCTGCCCTCATCTCATCGCAAGCTCAGCACGCCCTGCCACTGCTGAGCCGACACCCCCGTCGCCCCAGAAGGTGCACCTCTGTCAGACATCTCACTGCTGGCGAGCTGAACACCTGCCAGGGTCAGCGTAGCCTCCCTCACCCAGGGCAGAGGACGGGTCAGGCAGGTGCCGCGCCCAGGCGGCCCGGGCTCTCACCTGTGACGAGGGGTGTCTGTGCGGGCGGCGGCTCCAGCAGGACCATGTGCTGCAGCAGAGGGCTGTGAGGCGCTCCGCCCTCCCGCTCCAGGGGCGAGGCGCCCAGGAATGGGGCCAGGTGGGTGCCGGGGAACAGGGAGATCCGCTGCTGCAGGGCTGGGAGAGCGAGCCTCTCTGCGTCCGGCTGGCTCGCTGTGCCCTGAAAGGCACAGCAGAGTGTATGGGCTGAGAGCCCACAACAGCCTCCCCGGCCACCCAGACCCCCGGGGGCCAACTTACCGCAGAGGGGCCGGTGGCAGGAAGTCCTAAGGTGATATTGGGCAAGGATGGCGACGTGTAGAGAGGGAGAGGGGCGACAGAGCCTTCTCGAGTCACGAGCCTGTGTGCTAAGCTGGTCTGTAGACAGAAACCCCGCAGCTGTCACACACAACTACGGCTGAGCCCCGGGGGGACGGCAGAGGCCGCGCGCTGGCAGGTGGGCGCCTTGGTGCAAAAATCAGGCTGAACCAACTGTGGCCAGCAGGGGCGGGGCGCGGCTCCACACCTCGCCAGATGCACCAGGACACAACTCAGGGGCGTGGGACCATTCTTGTTAGCCTGAGTTCTCTGGTCACCTTGCCCAATGCCACCTTAATTTTATTCAACTTAAAACTATCAAAAGAGAATCCAGGATAGTACACACAGCGAAGTGTCTCTGTAGCTGGGTGTATCTTCCCAAACCTGACATCAAAAGCAGAAACTAAAAGCAGTTATGGACAGAACGGAACAACTTCTGCTCTCGTGAAAGGCACCTAGGTGACTGCAACCTTGGCAGGGGTTAATATGCAGAGAGCTCGCAAATTAAAGCACGGTGACTTCTGAGGGAAGGCACACAGCAGTCATGACAAACGAAGGATGCCCATGAAGGGGAGCAAACCGCGCTGCCCATCATCCGAGACCCATAGATCTATGCCTCATCAACTTGGCAGACTCTTTAAAATGACAACACACTGGCCTAGGAAAGCAGAAATGCATACTGATTCATGTTCTGCAAGATAACTTGGTAATAATCTGTGTTGCAAGTCCTAAAAAAGAAGCTGATTTAACCAATGCTCAGGCCAGTCCCAGGGCAATGAACCCAGCAGCACATGGAAGGCTAGATGCAGCGCAGCAACTTGTGACCTCTGCAACCACACCGGAGTTAAAGGAACACAGCGACATTTATACCCTGGCACCCACGGGGGCCCAGGAAACATTCTAATAAGGACCGCTAGCCACTCACATGACAGACTGTTAAGTTGTGGCATCACTGACTTTCTAACTAGAGCTCAGTCTACTCAAGTTTGAGCTGGGTCAGAAGGGCAGCAGCACAGGCTGCTAGGGCACTGAGGATGGAGCTACCGCGCTCTCTATACCGCGCTCTCTTCGCCTTCCTATTTCTCAGATGGACCGTGCTTCACTCACCATTATCCCTACATGGTGGACACTTGATGAACACACACCCCAAGCAGAACAAGAGGACGGTGCTGCAGGGAGGACCTGGCAGCAGACACAGAAGCCGGTTCTCCCTGTTCCGCTCACAGTGGGCTGTACCACTGAGGCCCAGAAGCATGAAATGCTTCTACATTTCATTTCGAAGAGAAACAAAAGTATGAGGTGAACATTGTTACAAGTGAATGTTTGGCTCTGGCTAGGTAGATGGCAGCCACAGCCCAGCAGCTCATGTCTGTTTGCAATGCTGCTGACCATCAGAGCAGGGAGCTACTGCCTTCTTCCCCAGGAGAAAAGAGTGGCTCCAGAGCCTTTGGATTTGACACACACCACACACACACACACACACACCCTGTGTGGTGTGTGTGTCTAAACCATGGGTTATATACACAGGGAACAAGCCGTCACTAGAGAGTTTCTGGGAAAAGCGCTTCTCTCACTAGGCTCCGGTGTCATGAAATTATGCTCACAAGCCGGTTCCAGAGCCTTTAGACATCATTCCTGTTTGCAGGGTCCCTCCCTCCCTCCCGCCGCAGCCCTTCACCCCCTGCCCCCGAGGTACGGGGAGTGTAGCCCCAGGGCCTAAGGCCCCTGGCTCCCCTCTTCTCTTCTGTCTCAGTGGCATGACAGACAACTTGTTTATGCAACACTTGGTTTGCTGGCCCACCTTTTCATTCGTGTCTTCCTCTATACCTAACCCATCGATTCTTTCTCACTCTCAAAGCATTCCCAGTGCACACTGCCTACCCCGGGTGCATTGGCACAGAGTGACGCTGGGAGGCCCTCTCCAGTGACAAGTTAGGTGGTGGCAAGACAGGCTGGAGGCTCCCTGACATCTTGGGTCTAAGCCCATTACTTCTCAGGAAGAAGGAGGGGAGGGGAGGGGAGAAGGAAGGACAACAGCCTATAAGACTGTCTCCAGAGTGACTGCTCGCTACCCCCCCTGCCCCCCCCCGCCGCATCCTGATTGGACGCTGTGGCTAATGGCAGTCCCGTGACTGCTCCTGGGTGCACTGACCTCAGCTGGGATGCTGGGCACTGCGGGTGCGATGCCGTTCTCAGTGCTGACATTGCCAGAGCTGCTATTGGGCGAGCTGGGTCCGGAGCCGGGAGCACTGCTACACGCAGAGTCTGCAGGTGAGAGACAGTGGCTGTGAGCACAGTGAGGCTGGCCACGCTCGGGTGGCCGGCCCCTGGCCTTGTGGTGTTCTGTGGCCTCAGAGAGCATAGCCAGAAGCACAAGGCTGTGGTTCCAAAGCAGAGAACATGAACCCCCGTCTGCTATTCAGTTTTGCTGCTGCACCCCCACCCCCACTCCCCCACCCCTGAGCTTTGTACAGCTCTGGCTCCAGGAAGGCCCCCTCCAGGAAGAATAAGCCTTTCAGGATGCACCCACTATCCAGTTCATAGCTCTTAAATTTCAAAATGATATCATACACCAGAAAGTTAAGCCCTTCTTAAACACTTATTAATATTTTCACAATAAAAGACCAGTGAACACAGAAGCCAGATGGCTGACTTGTGGAAGGTCACATTTACTATGCTCACCCTAAAACAATTCAAAAGAAAGCAACTTCCATTACTGCTCACTACACACGAAACCTTCATTTTACTGTGTGGGATAAGATGCAGGAATGCCAGCCAGGGCATCTGAGGCCCCCAGTGCTACTGAAGACGCAGGAGATAGTGGAAAGGCCCCCTGGGCACACCCAGAGGCCTGGCCCTGTGCACTGGGCCGGACTGCCTCCCGGCTGCTGGAGTAGCCGGGTCCCGTGGGAGGCTGCCGTGCTTTCCAGTTCTCTGACCAGTTGTCCAGACTTTCACATCTGGTTTGGTGGCCTTCTTACAATGTCTCATCTGGCCAAGACTTCCCAGAGGCACACATATGACTGACCAGTCTGCTGAAAAGTTCAAGAGTCTGGTCTGAATATTCAGAGCTGGACTCAAATCTGACTGCACACAGGGCCAGAATGGGCTTGGGTTGGCTCTGCCAACCCCAGCAGAAGCCTCATCCAAACCTACCAGCCCATCCAAGCCCAAGAACACAGCCACATGTCACTCTAGATCACGATCAGAAGGAGGACAGCAGGATGGAGGCCCTTGTCCCCCAACCCCCTCAGGTCCCCAGAGTGAGTAGAAGTGCTTCTAAGAACTTAGCCTTCATGAACTATGAAGACATTGTGCCAAGTAGTAATTCCACTTGCCCCAGATCTAATGGCTTCAGGAAAATGCTGAGGGCAAATGCCTCCCCTTGTTGGTCTGGGCAGAAGGGGACGACTTAGTCTCCTGATGACCACACTGTCCCCCAAGCCATCCTAAGCCCTCTAACACCCCCAGCAGCTGTCTCTGCCCTATGCCCACTTGAAAAACCTTCTACCTACTGCTCCTGGGGGCCAAACAGGCCTGCTGTTGGCTTATGCTGCAGACAGTGACTGTGAGCATGGGTACAGTCCCTGCCCCTCTGTCCTCATCTCCTTCCCAGCCCCTCTTGCTCCCTCCAAACACCAAGTCCAGAGCCTGGCCTAGCTCTAGAGCAATCATGTTTACCTGCCCTCCCTGGCTGACAGCTGCTGGAAGCCACTGGAACTAAGCAGATGTCTGCACTTTATTCATGAACTGTCTGCTGTCTCTGGCTTTCTAATTGTCCCATTTCAACCATTGCTGTCACCTGGCCCCGGACAGCCACGGTGGCCCCTCTCTGGAGCTGCTCCTGCATGGCCCTGTCTCTAACTACAACATGTCCTGCCAAATCCTCCTGGAAACCTGTGCACAAATGATCACCAGACAAACACTAAAAACAATAAAAATTATGGATCTGATGTGTCCCCTATTTGTAAATGCATGGTGGTAGTGTTTTGTTTTTGATTTCACTTCTAGGAACATGGTCTAAGGAGACGAACCTCTCACTGTCATGCCGTGATTACCACCAACAGTATGGCAATGCCGATGGGATGGCATTACCAGGTGGGAAGGGTGGGACGCTGCACAGGATGGGGCGTGTGCCCAAGCACAAGGCAAGTGGGCCCATCAGAACTAGAACGGGCAGGAGACAGCTCATCATGGAATGCTGTTAACTTCCAGCTACAGCAGGGGCAGGTGGCAGTTCACTTAATCCACAACTGGAAGGACGCAGAGTGAGAGCCTGCCGTGTTCTCCCAGCCCGTCTCATGGCCCCTCTGCACACACTGGCTGGGGTGGCCCTTCACTGCTTCCTCGCACCCCACTCCGCCTGGGGTCTTCCTGCCTGACGCCCTCGCTGTCTCAGCCCTCCTCAGAGCATCCAGTCACCTGGGTACCTGGGCTGACCAGGGAGAGCAAAACCTCTTGACTGTCCCAACCTCACACGTCCTGCAGCAGACCCCAGGCTCCTCGGCTGCCCCTTCCCGCCCTGTGGCAGGGCAGACGAAAAAGCACACTGGGAAGATTTTGTGTCTGGTTTTTTTTCTTTTTCTGCCAGTTCTGGGACTTTAACTCAGAGCCTACTGTCCCTGAGCTTTTTTGCTCATGGCTAGTACTGTACCACACGAGCCACAGTTCACCTGTTTTGGGGTAGTTAATTGGAGATAAGAGAAGAAAAAAAACAGACAATATAATTCTCCTGTGTGGGTGTATGTGATGAATTTTTACCTCTTTTTACAGTGTGTTTTTCAGCAGCCATTCTTTTTAGTAGAGATGTGATCCTCAGCAATATGAATGGATTCATTGAAATAGAGATACTTTTTCTTGAGCTAATAGTATTAGTATTTAGAGAACAGGAAAGACATTCTGCAAAAGAGCCAATTTTACCTGGATCCTTCACCTTGTGGAAGTCAGGGAATATGAATCCAGTATTGCTATTCATCTTATTATATGTATAATAGTAAATTTCTTAAAGTTATTGGTTATTAACTCAAACACACACACATACACACACACACACTCAACAAATACATTCACTGCCCGTCATTTACAGAGTATTATGGGACTGATTTTGACTGAAACTCTTATGTTTGCAAATAGACTGAGCAAGGATGGGTTAATTTCATTCTTAGGGAGAGCCTCTAATATCCTCATGTGTAAAATAGGTAATGTTTTTACATTAATGTTTTAACTGTAATAAAATATAATGGAGATGGAGGTGCCTGTCAATGAAAGATAAGCATCAGACACTGAGTTTGAGTTCTGATCTTGGATAAAAAAGAAAAATAAAATATACGGGAAATAAAAATTTCAGGCATGTTTACATAGAAAGATGCAATTAAATTTTAAATAACTTTAAAAAAAAAAAGCATGTTGGAGTCCCATGCTGTTTCCTGGACAGTGGAGAGAAGGCGCAGTTCACCACGAATGGGCAGGGCAGTAAAAAGCCCAGACTTGGACACCCTGTGGATATCCTTTGCAGTGCCAGTCACACGGAGCTCTCGCCAGAGACTAATGACAACCTGCAAGGAACTGAGCCAGGGAGAAGGGTGTGGCCAGTTCCAAGTCCTCCCCTCGAGTGGCTGGACCTGAACAAGACCATGCTGCTGGCTGTGTCTGAGGGAGGCATGTAATTGGGGGTGCACGGGGAGGAGAGACTCCCCGACGTCTAGAAATACCTGTGACATCCAGGGGACGCTTTTTAAGAGCCGTGACCACAGGTCCGTCCTTCCTGCGTAACAGGGGGCTGCTCCGTCTCTCAGCGACTTTCTGCTTAAGCCTGGACCGCAGTTTCAGGTTGGGTTCAGAAGCTGCACAAAAGAAGATGTTGATAAAGCTGGGAGGACACAGGAATGGAAGGTATCAAGCCACTTACTGCCAGGAGCGCAAAGGCAGCACTCCGTGGGCAGAAGGCTCAGGCCACCTGTCAGTGGTGACAGTCACAGCCTGGCTGCGGTGGCAGCACACGTCTGTGCATGCAGTACCATCTCTAAGCCACACTGCGTCTGAACTTTACCAGGAGATGGAAACACAAGTTAGGGCTTGTTAACTTGGAACGGCAAGAAGCCAATGAGGAGCAAGAGTCACTCAGCAAGGGTGCCTCTTAAATAATTCTCTCCCCAAACACTCACCTATATCATCACAGAGGTGTCACTTTGACAAGTAGGTAACTTTCAGGGTTGTGAACCGTGGCCACTATTAAATGACATGAGGCACATACTTTCCGGGTCACCTAGAGACATCCACATCTCCCAATCCAGAAGCCAGCCTACTCCAGCTCAGGGTAGCCTCTGGGAGGGGCAGTGTAGCCCCACTCCCACCTCCCATGGGAGGGTGGCAGAGTGGATGCTCAGCATCCTGTCTCCTTCGGGTGCCCCCAGCTGGCAACGCACAGCTGGGGGTGGGGCTCTGGTTTCTGCAATCAAATGCCTACTTGGAGCCTTGCAGCTATGAGCCCGTGTTGGGTCCCCATTCCTCCACACAGGCGCCCAGATCAATCCAGTCACAGCCCTTCCCCCACCCCCCACTCACCTGCTGGGGGGCCCAGCGGACCAGTCTGCTACCGCCCCTGGGAGAAGGCACAAGACTCTGGTTGGTCACCAGCTCTTCAGTCTGTGACAGACTGCTAGATAAGCCCGACATGATGATGGCAGGCAGAATAGTGGGGCCGCCACCTGCTGGGGCCCGTTAGTCCTGAACTTGTCCCACTGGTAGATGGCAAATGAGGGAGGTGCCCTTTCCCTCTGCAAGGGGAAGTTCCCCACTGCTACATGGAATTTCTCTCTGGGCTCTGAGAAGCAGGCCAGATGTAACTCCACATCTGTGCGACTCCAAGTGGAGATACATGTGCCACGTCTGTACTTGAATATGAGAACAAAGTAAGCCAGAAGCCTACCTGGTTACTAGGCAAGAGAACAGTAACTTTTCTCCCACTGCCAAGATCTCTCAGACCCCACTGGCGTCTCTGGGACAGAAGCTGCAAACCATGGGAGAACAGACTCTGAGCTCCAGGGCCAAAGCATGGTAACCCTTGGTCCTCTGTGGGAGAGGCTTCTTTTGGTAGCTGACCTCTTTTGGTAGTCTTTGGGCGGGTCCAAGTAGCAACAGAAGACAGGGAGTGATAGGGTCAGTCTGATTGGCCACCGGCTGGCCATGCCCTGTGGACTGACGTCCCACCCCCTCCAGAGCCACTTAGTCTTTGCTGGTGGATTCTATCCCTCCCCCTGTGTGAAGCACAGACTACAGGTCCAGCCTCTGCTCTCTGACCTGTCTTTTCTCTTCTTATGGCCCTGTGTCCAACTCTGCTTCCCATCCACAGGGACTGTTGGGGTCCACACCCTTCCAAGGCTCCCCTGACCCCAAAAGTTCTTACGGCCCTGTGTCCAACTCTGCTTCCCATCCACAGGGACTGTGGGGGTCCACATCCTGCCAAGGCTCCCAATTCCCAGTTCTTCACAGCAGCTGCCTGGCTACCCACAGCCACTTCACCACCTGCCACCACCTGACTGGCTACCTGTAGCAACTCTGGTACCCGATGCCACCTGTCTACCTGTAGCCAGATCCATACTGCTTACTGCTCTTCCACCTGCATGGCCTCTGGCTGCTTACTGCTCTTCCATCTGCATGGCCTCCTTGGCTCTCTGGTTTTCTCGAAGGCAGGCCCCGGGCAGGGCTGTCCACCTCTGCCCTCCTAAGCCAAGACCTGCTATCATCTGTCTTGCAGAATAGTAGGGAAGGAGGTGCTGGCCCCAAAGTCCAACCACCATTAACTAGGTCATGACAATGACACAGAAACACTAAACTGTGGAGCCCACCCTTCCTGCAGGATGGTCAGAACTGACCAAAAAGAACCAGATAACACACTGGCAACTGCCCAGGGTCAAGCCAGTGTGAGGCCCTGTCCCTGTGGGCCTATGGGATTCACTGGATGAGTAAGACAGTCGGCTTGCTTCTAGGAGCACAAAAAAGCCCAAGGAGGGAGGAAGTCCACAGTGAAGCTTGCAAAAGCAAGGTACAGCCACGCACCCTAAGGCAGCAGCTTACTGCTGGGTCTCAGGGTGCTCTGTGAGGCTGTGTGGAAAGCGCTATGAGTCTGTAGGCACGGGGCCCTGCTCCTTGCCCCTGGGTTCTTTCTGGAAAAGGCAAGTACTTCAGAGACCTCAATGTTAGGCATCTCACAAGCTGACTGAGTTGCATGTTAAAGAGAAGACACAGATACCCAGTTTTAGTGATTCAAATGTGTGTCTTCTCTAACCCCAATTCTTCTCTGCAGCTTCGGCTGTGGGTCTCTGTCTGGCCTCAGAGAATGTGCGCATAAAGCCAAGGGTCAGACATGTTGGAAAAAAAATGGAAGAAGTTGAGAATTTTCAAAAGAAAAGGGTGGGGAGACACCAGTGGAAAATGGGAAGGATAAGGCCTAGCATGAAATCAAAGAACAGTGAAGAGCTAAAGTGTGGGAAAGGTCCAGCAGAGCAGACCCAGGCGCACTGCTCCCCTGGATGGTGAGGGGCAGCCTTGGGTGGCAAACAAGAGACCCTCTGGAGAGGTCCTGCAAAACACAGGGCAGCACTGCTTAGCAAGCTCCTGAAGATGCCACAGTCAGAAGGAAGGAGGAAGCAAGTACAGAGGCACACACAGGGTCTTTCACACCAGCCAGGCAACACAGCCAGGGATGACAGCTCCAGGCCAGAGACAAGCCCATGGTGGCTGCCACATCTAACTGTCCAGCCTGGAGTCTCCTGGGCCTGCTGCAACATGGGCATGGATGAACAGAGACATGGAGAAAAATGAGCAAGGGAAAACCACAATCTCTTTTGGGGAGTAGACAGGAAATATAAGAAAGGAACATAACCAAGGTGCACTCTGCGGCGCACTGTGGGCACCACGTGTCACAATAAAGCAGGGAGCAGCGTGCGGGACAGCTGTCTTCCTGACATAGACACTTTGGGGCAGGGGAATCCTGGCTTCTGCCTTTATGGGTATATACTGTCTGAGGAGGAAGATGGCTCCAAAAAGATAATTAAAAATTTGAAATTGGAGTATCATTTTTCTAGCACATACAATAGATACAGGATTAATATATAAGGTAACTGTAACCCCTCTGTACATCACCTTTATAACAACAAAAATTAAACAAAACACAAAAACCTGTTCTCACAAAGCAAAAAGAAAAGGAAATGACATCAGGGACAGTGGCTTAGCATCCCACGGCAGAGCTAAGAGCTATGACTGGTCCTACGACACACGGCTGATGCTCCAGGAGGGAAAACAGAAAATACAAACTTGTTTCACAATGCTGCTCAAACCTTGCCAACAGTGATAGAATTGTTTTGAGACCTTGGAAAGTCGAGATTTGAATCAACCATTGAAATGACCATGCTCGCTGAACTTTAAGACTTTCACCCAGAGATACTAGTAGGAGTGAGCAGGGGCAAAGGCACCTGTCTGTCAGCGGAGTACTCGCTAGAGAGCAGTTCTAACTTGTGTCCACAGTGGAGCACTAAAGGAAACGCACTGGGCTGCACACTGAACTGGAATGGTGTTCACACAGAGAAGCAACAGAAAGGTAAGCTACAGCAAAAGAACAGCTCTGTACACATGCATACACAGGCACACATGCTAGGCCTACCTACCAAAGCGATCTGTGGGCAGTAAGCTGCGGGGTGAGCGGGCTGTTCTGTCTCATCACAAGCTGCATAAGCTGCATGCCACATGGTTCTTTGGGAAGGAAAGCCATGCCATGGGGGTGGGAGGGGAGGAGGAGCTGTTACCCCAATCACTCTCTCTTCCTCCTCCAGTCTCAACATCTACAGCACCTGGCATCAATCCTGGTGTGGTTTTACCACTAGATGATTAAGAAAAATGCCTATTTGGGAAAGACGACTTTGAGATCTCAGTGGGTACTTTTCACTTTGAGATCTCAGTGGGTACTTTTCACATTAGAAGCAGTTTGAGTTTGACTGGTGTCCAAGTTTAAGGAATGGCACACTGAGCATGACTTGATACAGAAACCGGCTGGTGCTTAACAACACCCGCCATCTAAGTTCCTCTGAAAGGATACAACAATGCCTTCCTTAAAAAAAAGTTTGAATATCTGCCTCCTCATTGTGGAAGAAGATGAGGTTGGTGGAGAATGCAGAGGGCCTGGGCAGTCCCACTCCACACATACAGATGTGTCTCTCCTGTGTCTGTTCAAAGGCAGCTTCCACAGCCATGAGCCAAATGGACACCTCTTCCTTAAAACATTTTTGTCTTGCTTAGTTTCAGCAACAAAAACTGAACAAACAGCAGGAAGATCCAGTTGGCAGATGTTCAAATCTTATCTTTCACAAATGTACTTACCAGTACCCTTTTGTCATCTCTAAAGAGGCTCTGCCCGGTCGGGGCAGTCTTCGAGGCTGCCTAGAAGCAGACAGAAGGGAGTATACCCACCTCACCTGGAATGCCAAGATGGGTTTTGGTGTAAGGCAACAGTGGGGACACCCCTGCTGTCCAAGGAGCAGCGAGCAGGCCCCTAACAGGTGGGGGGGCTGAACTAGGGGGAGAGGGGCTCCTGGAGCCTGGATCGGGGGACCTGATCTAGGCCTGAGCTCTTAGGAGAGGGTGATAGGTCAGGCAAGGGCAATCCAGGCCGGGGGGGCCTGGCCAGATAGGCTTGGACTAGAATGTTGTTTATGTCCACATAGTTCCCGAAAGCAGGGCTGAGGGTTGGTTCGTGCTGGTCTCTGGGCTGAGCTGTGAGCACTGAGGCAAGGACCTGGAGAGGTGCCCAGGCAGGCAGGGGAAGTTCCTGGGTGAACTGCAGGTTAAGACTCAGAGCCTGACCAGGACCCTCCTCAGAGCACGCGTGAGCACTTGCACCTCAGGAGCCATAGGAGAGGTTTTCCAGTGCAGTCACAGACCAGAGCCAAGGCCCCAAGAAGCGCAGGGCCCACCCCCACGTCCTAAGTGTGAGTGAAGGAGCGGGGGGCCAACGCCGGCAGCCAAGCCAGGGCCATGTCGGCTCCCTGGGATGAAAGCTCAGGTGAACGACAGGTATGTTCATGAGGGAGTAGGCAGCTGAGCCACCTGTCAGGCAGGGAGCCAGGAAGGCACACACAAACACACGGGGAGTGCCAAAGCAATCAGCACATATTCCTACCCAAGTCCTACCGGGCGAGACCTACATGCGCGAGACCAGCATGAACTAGTAAGGTGTAGCCCAGGGATGGCTAGTGGGCACCTCATGCCACTCAAGACCACCCTTCTGCCCACTCGCTATGTCTTTTGTGTTACTGCTTCCCAGAAAGGCCCGGATGTCACTCACTCAGCTCGGGGCAGTTTGGGCCCCTTGCTACTCTTGATGGCTAACCAAATTCTATGGAATCCTCATACTGTCACTACCATGAACAAGCTAATACAATCATATCGTAATGAAGGTCTCCTGGAGCACTGCCCTGAAGTACAACAGCGTTCTGGGCAGTTCTCACAGAGGTGGAGGCAGGGGAGGCAGTGACAGACTGGGCAGGGCCTGGCACGGCCAGGAGGGACAGACAGCTGCCAGGGGCTGCACTGTGGCAGCAGCGGTGGGCACAGCCAGTGTGCCGGCTCTCGGGCTGACAGTACGAGGCGCGTGGGCTTCGACTTCTGACAGCAGCAACCAGCCCCAGCAGGAGCAGAGCCACCCATCAGGCCTCACACCTGCCCTTCTCCTGCTGAGGGGCCTGGAGCTGTGGAGCAGTGGGGCAGGTGGCCCGCCCCATCCTGGGGCTGTCAGGGGAGGCTCAGAGCCGACTATCCTCACACCCTTCTGTCCACCTGGCCAGGGCCTGGCAGGGTTACCTCCACTGCACACATCTCAAACATTAGCCACGCTCCACTTAAGCTGGCTAAAAGGACCCTCCCACTCCCAGCTCCAGGTTCCAGTCCTGTTTCTGGGACACAGTTCCACTGGCTGACAACCTAGTGTCTGCCAAGTGATTCCTTCTTTACAGAGGGCAGGTGAGTCCCATCTTCCCCACAAGGACTCGACACGGCCTTAGTGCATTTATACTCAGAACCGCCCAGAAGGTTTTGGGTGCCTTTCGTACCTCATCTCCCAAGGCAGCCCAATGCCAGAGGAAACTCCCCACATGGCCCCTTGGTTCCGGAGAGCACCTGCGGCACCACCGTGGAACAGGGCCATCTCCGCAGGCCAGAGCCACTCAGGACACTCTGGACCGCCCTCCAGAAGCCCTGCCTTCCTGTCAGCCCAACACACTGCCCTCAGCCACACAGGCCCTTCTCCACAGCCAAGGCTCCATCACCCTGAGAAAGCGCCAGGACGCCTGCCCGTCCCGAGGGCTATGCTAGCACTCTCCAAACTTCCACTATGCCAGGCACCCTCTGGGGCCTCAATCCCCTTCTCCCTCTCTTCGAAGCAGGCCTGCTACACACGGTGGTGGCCACTTGGGATGCAGCCACGGGACGCAGGTCATCTTCCTGGGGGCTTGGCCCCACACTGGGCACTCTGACCCTTGCTGCTCAGAGCCAGCACAGAAGGCTGACTATGGCAACGTATCAGCAGGAGCTGCCAGACCCTGGGGACCACCCGCCGAGCTGCTCTGGAGTGGGACAGAGCAGGGCTTGTCACCCAAAGGAGATGAGGAGTTTCCAGGCAAAGCCTGAACCTTAGAAAGCTGGTGAACATGGCTTAAGGAGCGTTTTAAAATGGTGTTCTAACGCAGAAGCCCAGGAAGGAAGCCCTGGCTGAGCTGAGCGTGCCACAGGGCTTGGCACAAGCCACGGGGTGTGTGCCTTCACCAGGGTGGAGGTCCACCTGACCAAAGACCTGGAACTGACCTGTTTTCCTAAGAGGGAAGTCATCTTTGGCGTCGTACATCCCCAGGACTGGGTGGTTGTAGGAAGCTGACACCCCACTCTGAGGAGGTGAGCTCTGGTCCAGGGAGCTGTGCTGTGTCTTCCTAGAGAAAGACAAAGACAGACATCAGTGTGTCTAGGGCGCCCTAAACCTGTAAGCAACCCCAGGACGCCCCTTCTTTGGAACTTCAGAGCCCATTATCAGGGCTCTCATCCTAGGAGTGAGCTGAGAGTCAATGGAAACATTCCAACAAGTGAGCACGTGGGCTCGTGGGCTCCTTTGTCTCACTCAGCCCTGCTGCCAGCCTCTGCTTCCATCCTGGGATTACTGTGTCTGTCTGTCCTCGGCCTGCAGAGCCCCTCTGGGCCGTCCAGAGGGCCTGTCCTCAGGCGCAGGCAGAAGATGGCAGATGGCCCAGGATGGACAGTGGACTGGTGACATGGAGTTCTCTCTGCTCCCAGAGCACAGATCCCCGAGGGCTTCTCCTTCAGAAGAAAAGGCCCACCCCGCTGCTCTGACTACAAGAAGTCACCTAGCCATCTCATAGGAGATGGAGAGCTCAATAGGAGCCAGGCTTTTGTGTCCTGGAAGCTGCTCTGTGAAGTGTATTTCCTCAGGAATGGCCAGACACCACACAGAGGCCGAACAGTGAGCAGATGGGAGGGGCTTCAGGAGGACGGATGCTCCAAGGAAATGGAGGGATGAGGGAGGAGATAGAATAGCAAGGGATGCTGAGGCTATCCAAGATGACCATCAGCATGCCCTGGATGCACTGGCTGCTGAGCCTGTACACACACCGCAAATCTAAGACAATCTGCAGGGCTTTATGCTGCATAATCTGCTTAATGACTGGAAACAAGTTTGTCAGTTTTTGTATTTGGAGTTTCGCTATTTGAACACACAATACCTGACATTCATGCATCTGGAGTTATTTGAATCAAGAGTGGGGAGTTCTCGAAGGTGCACAGGTGTACATTTAAATATTTGAAACCACACGGTACAAAGAATGTGCTGAAAAGTTCCAGAGACAAATCCAGGTATCCTGGGTCTCACAGAGGGAGGATCCAGAAGTGTGAACAAAACCAAACTTCCAGCCACAGCTGAGCTCACCCTTCCCCAAACCCTTCCTATCTCACCACGACACGGACTCCTAGACAGCATCATACACCTCACACATCAGCCCACACAAACTCACGCAGACCGGCTACACCCTGTCACCATGACGGGCAGCACCTGCAGAACAGCTCCTTCCATCTAAGTCATTCCTCACTTACTATTATCTTTCAGTTTCCAACCTTTGCTTCCAGCCTGGAGACAGAGACACAGAAGCTCAGAGAAGCGGTGGTACAGGTTCAGAGGGGCAGAGGGCCTGGGCGGGCTGAGCACAGCCTTGCGTCTAAGGCGCCAGGGGCTGCCTAGAGCCGAGATGGACACGCACAGCCTGTCTGGCCACTCACCTGCCACAGACTCATGTTTGTTTCTGCTCTTTGGTGGTCCTGAATTCTGCTGCCACGAGCACAAGAGTGGCTCCTTCACGTGGACTAGCTTTGTCTTTGGCCCACACGGAAAGGCACATGCTGGTCATAAGGTAGGTGAGCACCCACTTCTCGTTCTAAAACACTGCCAAACCTTTCCCCAATGGGGCTACATTACTTAAGTCCCCGGCAACCTATTGCAGTATAGCCACCATACACCCTGCCCCATCTGCCCACTACAGCTTAGCTGGCCCAGCAGCTGTCTTGCTGGAGTTCCACTCTGAACACCCCTACTGATACTGTATGGGCTTTGTGGACACCCGTACTTCACCTCTGTGAGGTACCTGTTAATGTCTTTTACCTGTTTTTGAATATTAAGTTATACAACCTCTACAGGTACTTTGTCAGATATATATGCACTTGGAATTTCCTTCTTGTTTACTGCTTGCCTCGTTTTCTCAAAGATGCCTTTCAAAAAGCAGAAGTTCTCTGGGTGAAGTCTGGTGTTTCAGGTTCACAGCTGATGGTTCTGGTGACCCGAAATCTTTGCTAACTCTCCCCTTCAACAGGCTGCCAAGTATATGAGGCATTTTCTTCTACAACAGGAGCTGTTCTGGCTTCGTGCTGTGGTCATGAGCTCTGACAAAGCATCAGGCGTGGCAGGAGCCCAGCTCATGGCTTAGCTCTTCCCCCAAAGACCGATTCCTAGGAACTTTCTGCCGCAGGGCAGTGGGTACTGCCAGTGATGCTTTGTGTAGGGTCTTATATGATGCCACAAGCAAGCCACCAACCCCAGTGAAACACACCTGTCACAGACTTAGGTCCCTGAGGTCAGACTCTAGTCACTGTGGTAGTGTCTCCCCCTCAACAGCCCCAGAGCAGGCAGCATGACTCTTGGGTTAGCAAGCCCTGTTCAGGTGTGTCACCTACCTGAGGTGACCTGCTCACCAGGTGATTTCAAGTGAAAGACACGCTCCCTTCCTTCTCCTGGACACTGCCCACCACTGCGCCCGAGAAGCACCTCCCTCACCCGGCAACCTTGCACCCATTCCTCAGGTCCCTCTTTGACTCTAGGAAGTGTTCTTCCACCACCCCCTGGCCGCATCAAGGCCCGCATCACACACAGCCTCTGTTCCTGCTAGCCTTCCTCCTCGCGCTGTGCTTCTCCAGCGGCTCCATCTGTCCACACCACTGCGGCTTTCCGTACCACCGTGGTGGCCACCCTCCAGGGTCTCCACTGCGGTCAGCCACGGTGCCTCCCCAGGCCCCACGGCTCATAGCGCAGTTGCCAGCGCAGCTTCCTAATCCACGCTGGCCCTGCCCTCCACCACCCCTCCTCTGACAGACAGGGTCCCCCAGGACTGCTCTGGGTCAGTCGTAATCCAACATGCTCGCCATCCCTAGGCTCCTCCATCTCTCCCAGGCCCTACTAACCCTACCTGTCCCAATTTGAGTCTGTCTTTACTGCTATCTTCTACTTCTGCCTGGCAACCCCCACCTTGCCATAGGCATGGGACACCAGAGCCACACTGTTATCACAATGTGAGCTGACAGCCAAGACTGCACCACAGCACGGAACACGGGGTGCGCGGGAGCCCTGATGTACCAGCATTGCAGGGGTTCTCCCACCGAAGTCACCAATTCTTTACTGTTGTCGCCTGTGGCTCCCTATGGACTGCCAGGCCTCAACCTTCTCTGAGAGTTTTCATGTCATCTGTTGAGTTATACAAGTACCACCAACTTTTGGGCAAACTTCTATGTATGAGCTATAAGGCAATTCCCTTCGACAAAGGAGTACCTCTGTCACAGAAGGCCTGTGTCCTGATGGCTAAAGTCATCTATCATGTGCAACCTGTCATGAGACCCGGTGTCATGCATAAACGGCTGTCCCTTTTCAGGCTGTAGCATAGCTATTTTTCCCCACGTCGGATCGTTGATTACATTTATTTCATTGGTTCAATTTTGGTTTTTTGAAAATTGCAGTCCTCTGGCCTCAGCTCCTGAGCACTAGCGTTACAGGTGTGGCTCTACTCCTGAGTCTGCTTATACAATTTGATGTAGGAAACCATCCTGCTGTTTGGCCATTAGCGTCTATAGAAGAACAGTCTTCAAAGCAACCATGTATTCTGGATGGTAACAGGAAGCTACGTCACTGTGGCCCCGCCGCTTACACAGGGCCTCTGGAAGGGGCCTCCACGCAACCCTTTCCATCCACTCTCAGCACAAACAGCTGCCCATCATGTAGGCTCTGGTCAGCCCTCTGTACAAAATAATAATACCGAAGTGCTATGGACTCTCCAGGGAACCAGTGATCTTGGTAGTGCAGATGGGCTTCCCACGCTTCCTGAGGAGGTGAAGAACTGGGTCCTCTCGTTCCTGCTCCTGGAGCTGGGTATGCTGTGGCCCAGAGAGAAGCCCAAATGGGGCACCCCCACTTACCCGTACCAGTAGCGGGGGTCACTGGAGATGCAGTGGTTCAGGTTCCGGTGGGCTAGTGCCTTCTTTTTGTTGAGGACAAACTCCTGCAGCTTCATCTTCACCTCAGTGCTGGCCACGGCACCTAGCAGCGAGAGCAGGACAGGACAGCATGGGGCAGGGAACAAATGGCAGGGCAGGCAGAGGACTCTGGGATACTGCGCAGACCTGGAGGAGCTGGGCCGGGGATGGTCTTCTCACTCAGGCATTACACACTACAATATTTTTAAATACACACCTAACCATGGGAAAGATTCCCAAGGCCACCTCTGAGGGAGTTTTATATCCTTGTATCAATGAAGGTCCCAAGTCTATTGCATAAGAAGTAGGCTCTAGAAGGTTCTTTCCAACAGAAGCATCCCACACAGCACATGGAGACAGGCCTGCTGCCCAGGGGGATGGCTACCAGTGCCTCCACACCCCCAGCACGTAGCGTTCTCATCCTGAGAAGGCAGCTCTGCCCTTGCACAGGGTGCCACACGTACAGAGAGCAGGCGAAGCCACATTGATGAGGCACAAGCTGTAGCTCTGGGCTGTTCTTCTAGTGGGGTGACTTGTTCAAAGCAGAATTAAAGGGCGAACACACAGAAGGAGTGCCGAGACTCAGCCTCTACAGGCCTGCTGGGGTTTCCCTGGTGTCACAGGGAACTCAAACAGTGCCCTTAATAGGTCAAACTAGGTCATGCGGTGAGTGGACCACATTTCTATGCAAAAGCATTCCTGCCTGGAGGCTTTGTTTGCCCTTAGACGCCAACTGCAATGGCCACCGGCAAGCAAGGTCCAGGTTCAAGTGATCTGCATAGAAGAGATTAGCACAGTATCTTTACTTCACCAACCTGACTTTAGCCTTGAGACATCACTACCTTGTCCTCCTTCCCAGAACCAGGGAGCGGGAGCCCACTTCCCAGCACTCAGGACCAGGACCGGCAACGTGTCCTAGCAGTCCCGTGGGGTGCATGCTGGCGGTGTGGCTCTACTCTCTTGAGTTGTATAGCATTTTTTGGTTTTGTTTTGTACTATTATAGCTGATGAAGAGCCAATTCTATGCTAGGCCATCCTACTTAACCCACACATGAAAGCTAGGAGCAACTGTTGGTAGAGGGTATGGGAGGGGTCGGGTGAGGTCAATCCTGGCAGTTAACCTTAGTGTCTTACTTCTTTTTAAAGTTAGCTATTCTGCTGTTCACACGCTGCCTCCATAAAGCATGTTCTAGTTATTCCACTGTGACATTTACCATTTCCTTGAAGCTTTACCATTCATCTTCCTTTCAAACATTTGATAAATAACTGCTTCGAGGGCTGGCAGTCCAGGCTCAGAGCCAAGTGCACGCTGGGGCCTAGCATGTACCAGACTATAGGTTCAATCTCCACCACCACCACAGAAGTTCATCTAAGTTCATCTTTACTGTTTTGGACCTGTGTTTTCCTTCATGCTACCGTTACTTTCATGCTTCATTCTGATGTACCTAGAGAGTATATAAGACTTTGTGGATATTTGCCAGAAATGGTTAACATTAGAGAACTAGCTTTCCTTTGCTGACTTTACCATATACCCAAGATTTGTGTCATTATCACAGCTGGTGTGCGTGCTTGTTAGTTAACCACCCTTCAGAGTTTTGCAGCAGTTGGTCCAGTGAAAGCTCATTGTACAGACAAGGGACATCCAGCCTTAGGACACGGCCTCTCAGGACACGGCCCAAAGCTGTGACAGGATGTGAGCCAGACGGGCCATAGAATGCTGGGAAAGCTGACTAAGCTGACTGGGGTGGAGGTTTGGAGGGTCCACCATGAAGCAGAAATTCACTAAGAAAACTTTTCTCTTAGCTCTATCAGCAAACAAGTCAAGGAGAGAAAGATGGTTATTCTCCATTCCCTTCCCCTTCACTGGTACACATGTATCCTTCCACAGACTTCTGCGCTTAAAGGAATGTTGTGTACCACAAAGTGCTCTAATTTTTCATGCTGGATATCATTATTCCACTGGACAGCTTGAACTTTTGGCCTGGGCACCGTCCCTGAGCCACAGTGCCACTTCCGGCCTTTTCTGTGTATGTGGTCTGAGGAATTGAACCCAGGGCTTCATGCATGCTAGGCAAACACTCTACCACTAAGCCACATTCCAAGCTCCACTGGACAGATTTTGATGGTGCTCTTAGGAGGTACCAGCACGGTTCCAGCCAGCAGGAATGAGGAATGAATAAAACCAACCATGATGCTCATATACCAGGAGTAGGAGGAGGAGGAATCTGGGCAAACATGCAAGGCTGGGCAGAAGAGAGAAGGAAGAGCAAAGCCGAGTGAGGACAGGGCGGTGAGCACAGGCTGACAGACAGGGCAGAGGCTGGGGGGCTGCCACCCCCACACAGGCTGCCAAGGGAGGGAGCGGGCCCCCGGGCACACTGATGAATGATGAATCTGTCATTGATGTGCAGCTTCTGCCTAAGGTTTACTCCTTTTTCTTATTCCTCACTTGCCTGTGTGGGAGATATGACTTCACAAATTGTTCAAAGACATTACTTTTGGGGTCAGGTATTTAATTGTTACATTCTCACCTTTCAAATCTATCTATCTATCTATCTATCTATCTATCTATCTATCTATCTATCTATCCATCCATCTATCCATCCACCCACCCACCCTCCTATTTACCTACCAATCACCCTATTTCAAAGCTCGTGATGGAAGCACAGAGCCACACCCCTACGTACAATTTTCAAACAGATGTGTGGCTCTCCCCAGTGCCTGCACCTTACCTCATCAGGGCTGTGCTTATAAACACGCACACAGCATGGCACGCTGTGCTTCAGCGCTGCCAGAGTCTGCTCAGAGGCAGACTTCTTCCTCCTGGACCTGGGCTGCTGTCCTGTATCTTCAATTCCCAAGTGTCTTTCAATAAAAATCTGATTGATCACAGATAGTGTGTTCCCGCTACTGCTATAACTCCTAAGAATTCACTGTTCCATCAAACTCATTTAGTTTTGTTGGTATTAAAATAAATACCAAATAAAAGAAATGAGTAATAAGTAAAAGAAAACTGTGCAATTATCCAAACTCAATATTATGTATTGTAAATATTTACAAATGTTAACAAAATTTGTCAAATATTTATTAAGTTCTTTAAAAATAAAATCCCGAGAAACTGACTAACAGATGTTTTATACTGGGTTTTCAAATGCTTGAAAACAGAGATCCTTTGCATTTTCCCATATGCATCTGCCCCGTAAGCGTGTTACAATTTGGCATAAACAAGACTCCCCTTCATGGGTGAGGTATCCTGAACACCATGACAGGAGAGGCCCGCGCGGCGCCCCCATTGCGGTCTGCCAGCCTGCCCTCCAGCCACAAGACCACACTGAGGGCTGCAACGTCTATGCAGGCTTGCCAAAGACCCAACTGGACACAGCTTATTATTAATAATAAAACCTGACCACCCAAATCCACAAAGTGAAAACCACGGGTGCTGTCTGTGATGAGGCTGGAGAGCAGCAGAGAACATTCCAGCGCCTGGGCACGGGTGGATGGGGCGTACTGCACAGCACAGAAATTGTTTTGACTCATAAACAGACCCAAAATGTTTTCTAAAGTCAAAGCTTTTCATATTCTATGAATCTGGAGATGATATTTTTATTGGAAGACTCTGCTAAACTATGAGAAAGTGATTTAGTCTGCATTCCTTTCAACTATCAGAAAAATTGTTATTTGCTGGTTAGTTGTGACACAGATTGACTAGCTGATATTTAAAACATGAGCTGCAATCCTTTGATAAACAACCTCTCTTTTCCCTGCTCCAAAGGAAAATAAACAAGTAGGACACATGCTGAGCCATAAGCTAACCACTGAGGAGAGGGGGGGAGGGCTCACTGTGAGTCCAGCCCAGGCCCAGCACACCTGTGGTCTTGGCTCTCGCACATGCACACGTGCACTCTTTCCGTGTGCATTCCATACCACATGACCACCCTGCAGGCACCTGATCAAAGCCCCTGGCAGCCTCCTCTCTGAGCAGCCCCTGCTCAGAGAGCTGAGCAGGAGACAGCCCTCAGATTGGGCTGTAGGCCAGAAGATGGGCCTCTCACAAGAGCAGGGGAGTGTCCTCTTGGCCCCAATGTCACAGGGCCCAAGTAGTGTTGGTTGCTACCTCCAAAGACTGTTAATAAGGAGCACCTGGAGTCTGTTACTTCAGCAGCGATGGCTCTGTGTAGAGAAAGTAGTACTAAGAATATAAGCAGGGCACAGGAGACTCAGGCTTATAAACCTAACTACTCAGGAGGCTGAGATCAAGGATTCAGGTTCAAAGCCAGCCCACTCAGGAAAGTCCATGAGCTCTTATCTCCAATAAACCACCAAAAAGTTGGAAATGGAACTGTGGCTCAAGTGGTAGAGTGCCAGATTTCAGCAAAAAAGCTAAAAGGGACGGTAAGTCCAAGCTCTAGTACTGGTACACACACACACACACACACACACACACACACACACACACACACACACACA